TAATAGAGTCCTAATCTCAACATCTAAGGAAAGGGATTTAGGGGTGATTATTTCTGATGACTTAAAGGTAGGCAGACAATGTAATAGAGCAGCAGGAAATGCTAGCAGAATGCTTGGTTGTATTGGGAGAGGTATTAGCAGTAGAAAGAGGGAAGTGCTCATTCCATTGTACAGAACACTGGTGAGACCTCACTTGGAGTATTGTACACAGTACTGGAGACCGTATCTTCAGAAGGATATTGATACCTTAGAGAGGGTTCAGAGAAGGGCTACTAAACTGGTTCATGGATTGCGGGATAAAACTTACCAGGAAAGGTTAAAGGATCTTAACATGTATAGCTTGGAGGAAAGACGAGACAGGGGGGATTTGATAGAAACATTTAAATACATAAAGGGAATCAACACAGTAAAGGAGGAGACTATATTTAAAAGAAGAAAAACTACTGTCTTAAATTAGGGGGACAAAGGTTTAAAAATAATATCAGGAAGTATTACTCTACTGAGTGTATAGTGGATGCATGGAATAGCCTTCCAGCTGAAATGGTAGAGGTTAACACAGTAAATGAGTTTAAGCAAGAGTTTAACTATAAGATAAGGCCAGGGACTAATGAAAGTATTTAGAAAATTGGGCAGACTAGATGGGCCAAATGGTTCTTATCTTCCATCACATTCTATGTTTCTATGTTTCTATATTTTCCTTTGTGAAAAATCTACTTTTTTAAAACTATATCACACCTGCTGCTGCTCACCCCTTTTTAAAATGTCTTTCATTGTAGTGGGTTTGCACTGTTGTGTGTTGCCTGTTCCCTACGCAGACACAGTTGTTATTAGGTGATGATAGGGCTAGATGTCATCGTCTGCCAGGTGAGATTCAGCTGGCCACTCACCTCTCCCTTCAAAAATGTTTTAAAATTTGTAAAAGTATTCTAAAATCTAGCAGTAAACTAAAAAAAAATTAAAATAATAATTTCAAATTAAATAAATCTCTGCCAATGCAGTTGGGAGACACCGATATAAGACTGTTTTTTTCCACACTGAATGACGGCCTTTGATGCCACAGACAGGTTGGATGTGTGGGAAACTTTTGTTGAGTGGGTGTCCAATTGGCAATGGCCACTCACTTTTTCTGAGAAAAGGAAGTGACCATCTTTGAGTGTCCTATCAGTTTCTCCCAACTATATTGACAGAGGCAGCAAGTGTAGCCATATTTCAAGGCTCAGCTATGCAGGGCGTTTAAAAAAAATGGGAAGCCACAGCAGCAGCAGGAGTAATTTAATTTTAAATTATTATTTTAAATTTTTTTTTATTCACGACTAGATTTTAAAATACTTTTACAAATTGTATAACAAATTTGAAGGGAGAGGTGAGTGGCCAATTTCATCTCAGATGATGACATCTAAAGTACAGAGAAGGATTAAAATCCCATGGGGCACTAGGCAGGTTATCAGTTTGGGACTTGATTCATTCTTCTCATAGGGATGGTTAATGGGACCAAGAAAATGTATTGCTCTAACCCTAGGATAACTCAACTTGGGGAGATTGAGGACGGCTATTTGCTCCATCAGTTGTCATTTGTTAGTGTTGGAGAATTAGAATGTTCCCTGTAACAGAAAATACTCAATTTGGACAGTGGATAGTGTATATGAAAATAGCTTTTGGGCAATGTTAGTAAGGGGGTACACTGACAATAATCCACTCAGCAACAAATATATAAGTGCTCAACCCTGTAGGACACTCCTCCCCAAAGTCCAAACGATCTCCAAAATACAATACACATGGGAGCATGTCCTGGATTCTCTAGGCTATTTGACGCTGCTCCTTCAATACTTCACTAGTCCTAGTTCAAGGTGTGTTGAGTGTTGTGATAGCGCTATTGCTGTGTAGAGTTTCCCAATATAATGGAAGCAACCAGTCATATTGGTTAGTAGATCAACCGAACTTTATTAGGCCACACTAGGCTTTTTATGTACATATCTCCAGAATGGGGTCTCCATTGGAAAAAATACAAGCCCATCCCCAGTGCCTCTGTGTCTGAGAGATAACTGAGTCTAAAGTAGGATAACTCAATTATCTCTCAGATACAGGAAGTAAGGCAAAATCACACAAAAAAAAAAAAAATATCAATAATATACAGGAACCCCACAAAAGTCATATCCCTGAATAGCTCGGATCTGAGCGCCCAAATTGTCCAAATAGCTCTCAAATCCCTCTGGTAACACTGAATCGCTATTCAGGTGAAGACTTGACCAGTCGACCACGAGGCAATAGCCCAGAATAGTTCCACAGGATCAGAGGCAAGGACCGGTCTCCTTTCAGGGGCTCCTGTACCAACACAGACGAACACTCCCCTCGGCTCTTATGGAGCAAATGCTCCTCCTGTTCAGTAGCTCCTTACTCCCGAAAGTCGTTATTCTAGCTGGTCGGGTAGTTGAACTTGCAACGGAAAAGTTTCCCCGGGGTTTGCGAGCTCGTGTAGCCGACACAGAGATCCATGCAGTCAACGACCATGTTGGGAGACAAAATGGCCTCCATTCCCGAGAGCACATGTGTTCGTATATATGAATGGCGGCCACCCAGGGAAAGCACTTGAGATGATTGCTCATTTGTGGTTAACAGCCAGGGTTGGTTGGTGATTATGAGGTGTTAACAAGGGGGACCATATATTCTGTTCGGTAGCTGAACAGAAAAGAACGGATAGTTGAACACAAGGGAAACAAATATCTTGTAGTGACTCCATTTGTATAAAATAAAAAAATGGAACACGTACGAGGAGTCCTATCTCCCGTGACAGAGCACTACATAAAAAAATACACTATATTAAAAAATGTATATATTTATTTAAAATCATGTTAAAAACTACACTTATTTTCCATAGAAATAACAAGTACCAATACCACTTAATACAAATATGACAAATATATAAAAATGTATTAAAAAATTACATATTGCTACAGAAAATTGGGGACATCCATTTACAGTAGCACGCCAAAATAAACAGACTGCATTAGTGAGATTTACATAACCAACAGAGACAGTAAAAGCAGTAATTTAATGCAAGAAACGAGAGCATTCGGTGTGTAAAAACATGCCCAGAGTTTCTATAACCAGCCTTTTTCAAGCTGCTGGGCAAACAGAAAGAAAGATGGCCACACACTCTTCTTCTCATCCCAGTATCTTAGAGTGTCCTTACTAGAAGGCAAACAACATTAACATAGGTAAGCAGGTCATTTCAGAGGCCTTAATAGACTTATGGCTGCTTGCTGACTCACTTTCTCCCCTTAAGCTTACCAAGAACCTTAGACCAATCCGCAGAGGCTAACCTCAGCTGTGTTGGGGTTTCCTACCGCTGCTGCTGGGGATAGTAGTTTTGACAATATGTTACATTCAATTTGCAAGTCTTTCTCAACCAGAATGCATCTGTTTCAAATCACGCACCGTGTTAACATAGATGGAAGCTAGCGTTTCCAAAATTCTTTCTAGCATGTCTAAAGTGGAATTCTACCATGTGCTGACTTTGTCATAGATGGTGTGTTGGAAGCCCTATTTTCTCTTGCATGGCTATTAGGAGCACTCAATAAGTCTGTAGTGAAATGCACTGACTGACCTACAGTCTCAGCCAGCTGCTCCTTCAATATTAGCATAAAGGAGCAGTATAGTGATGGACTTGCTGAACGTGAATCATGATGGAAGTACTTATTGTGGTGCAAGGGCCTGTAACTGTTGCTAAAGTGCTTCCCTTTTATCATGGAAAATAAACTCCCTCTACAGCGATCATTTGGTCATTCAGAAGGGTGATTTTGTTAGTCTACTGTTTTGACATGCCTGTAGTATGACATTCAACAAAATATTCAAGAGTGGATGGATGGACACATTCTTGGGATGATAACAGGGAGTTTGCCTGCCCTAGCACCTAGTGTTACTGTGCACAAGATCTCCCTCTTCTGCCTAAGGGTGGTAGTAGTTGAGGAGGTATTATTATAAAAGTATAACTCTTCAATTGAATTCCCAAGTCTAGCTGATGGCAGAGGCCGGATTAACGACGTAGGGAAACAAAACTGGTGTGGACTGGCTGACAATAAAATTAGTTAATGTAAAGGTGACTTTGCGAACCATGTAAATGCTCTTGCTGCTTCAGTCTCTCTAACAATGTGGCATGTAACCTTTCTTCTACATTTTCTACATACACCTTTTCTCTGCCCAAGACTTTAAAAACAGGAGCTTTGGCCTGCTAGTAAGAAGGTTAGGAGAGGAGAGGAGTGGACCTGCGAGTGCTAGGGGACACTCCTTAGAAAGAGTAGAGTTAGCGCATGCTTAGACACATTTATGCAAAGCTCAGGGTGCTGTCTGCATGGTATGCCTTTTGTTGGCAAGCCTGCATGATTGGCAGGCAGTCTGATGGCCATCTATTTCTTTGTGCAGATGCGTACCCTTTTTGGGCATGTTTGCCGCTTTTGGCGGTTCTGGTTATGTGATATGCTTCAGCAGCCCACCCTTTTACCATGCCCACTGATATCCAGCTTTACTGGACACTGCTGTTAGGTGGTATGGATTTTCTTGTAAGATAAAAGCGAGAGATTAGCATAGGTTATGTGTTTTCCCTCCAGCACCACCTCCACCAGATACATGGAGCTTGAGAGGTATAACTGTTTTAGTTTTTTCTGGCGATAAGATTCTGTAATTAGGCCCATTATAATTGTCAGCACCAGGCCCAATGGGCTCTTAATCTGGCCCTGCTGATGGCAAAGAATGGGTCATGTTGCAAAACAGTTGGTCTTCTGTTGCTGAACATCTCCAGACTAAACCAGTTCTGATGGATTGCCCAACTCTACATTACTAGGATGGTCCTCAGCACCTATATCAAAACCCTCTTCTGGACAATGCAGGTTTGGTCTGAGATGTTATATTTCCTAAATAACAACAATCAGCTGTAAACCATAGACTGGTAAGGGGATTTTCTCTGAAATTACTAAAACTAGCATAGGCAGGAGATAATATCTGAAATGGAACATATTCCAAAGATTCACCCAGTTACTGCCCTGCCAGGTACCTGATACATATCCTGGATTTTGCCTGCCAAATGGTGACTTGACACAAAGTCAGGATTTAATTGGCTAGGACAATCTTCATTGTGTGGCTGTATGGCTATATATTTGTTGTACAGGAGGCAGTTAAAAAGACAGAACAACATCAAAGATAACAGGTGTAACAGACACCGGGTAACACGAATCTCCTTCTCTCAGCCAGACTGGAACCATTAAAGCATACAAACATCCATTCCCCCAGTAACCAGAGGAAACATAGTTCTGGGAGTCAATTGATTTCTTTCAGGCCACACACGGCTTTTATGCACAGACCCCTACATGGCGTCTACAACACAATAATACAGGGTTTTCATTCCCGGGTTCCTTTGTGCCTAAGAGATAATTGCGTGAGAAAAACATATAATTCAATTACCTCTCAGGCACAACAAATCTGTACAAAATATACAGTACCCCAAAAGTACCCCCACCATAACTAGGAACCCCACAAAAGTCATATCCCCAGATAGCCCTGATCTGAGTGTATAACATATCCAAATATCACTCAGATCGGTTTGGGGAAACGGGAATGCCACCAGGGTAAAGTTTTGACCGTCCAGACAAGAGGAGATAGCCCCAAACAGTTCTAGGGATATAGGTGTCCCGGTCGGTCTCTGTTCGGGGGTTCCCATGCAAGGGATTTTCTTAATTTCAGGGTATGAATGCCCCCCCCCCCTGTTCGGTAGTTCCCATCTCCTGAACGTCGCTCGCATAGTTGGTCGGGAAGTAGAACGGGCAGCGGACTAATCTTTATCAGGGTTCGTGCAAGTGCCTAACCGAAAAGAGTTCCAGGCACTCGACGACCAAGTGCCACTGCCCATGTTAGGGAGACAAAATGGCCACCACTCCTTTGTTGACATGCATTTGGTTATACGAAATGACGGCCACCCAAGCGAAGCATTCATTAATTACTTCCCTTGTGGTTTCGCTCTTAAGTTGCTGCTGTGAACATACAGGGGTGGTCCTTGTTTGGGAGATAAATTGAGGGTGTTCATTTACCATAACTCCCGAACAGAAAAAGGCAAAACAGAAGAAATTGGTGGTAGGTTCCACCACAAAAGGGAAACCACCATTCTTATCATGCACCCAGAAAGCCACTAGAATAGTGTAGATAGATTGAAATGAATGATTCTCTTACCACTCATGTACATGTACTCTGTTGTTAAATAAATATATTATATTTTACGTCACTGGTGTAGGCATAGATTATTAACTTGTTATAGTAGTCACAAATTTAAGTGGTACTCAGTTGCACAGAATCATATTCAGTGCCAGTGAACATGCTGCCTGCCCTAGGGCTTTCACTTCTTTATCCCTCAGTAATACAAGCCTGTAGTGTCTTTACATATATTGGGTCATACTGGCATCAGTGATATGACCCTTCACTCCTGAACTGATTACTTCCTTGACCCACAATAATAATACTATCACTGGTGAGTTACTTAATCATAGGTAGGAGATGATGCTACAACTGATTCCATTAAATTAGGCAAATCTACTGCAAATAGAGATGGACTTAGACAAGGAGGTGAGTGCACAGCATGTGCAGAAAATAATTGACTGCTTCCTGTCCTCTCTAGACTTTCCTCATATAATTTCTCCTGCGACAGACCTATAGAAATATCTGCAGTTACAGGGGAATGAGCAATACCATCACGAGATTTATCACCACCGCCAAGAGAGATTGGGGTCCCAACTTCGGTATTCTTCTCTGCTTTTCAGTTGTCTCTATTGGCACCGACAAAGCCTCTGCTGAGCTCATAAAAACACATAAAAAACATAAAACACAGAAGCTGTAACTCGTTAACTATCTGTGGTAGAAGATGCTGTACCAGTGGAAGAAGCAGCAGACATTATTGCGAAGATGGTGGTCTTCATGGGCCCAGCTGACTCTAATGCTGTAACTACAGATTTTTGAGACACCAATTGGAGCATTAAAAGGCAGAGAAAATACATTTGCCTCCTGGGTTATGAATTAGTCAACAGACATGCTAATCCCATTATCCTGAGGCTGAATACTTCTACTAGTGTTGGTAGTGGAGGGGGTGGTGATGGCAGTGGTGGCTACAATTGCAAAGCGTCAGGAGTCCTCATGGTCAAGTAAGAAGTGTTAAGACCCGGAGAGGTGCCTTGGCACTACTGCTGATGATGCATTCGGGAACACAACATCCATTCCTACCATTGCCAAATTTATATGTGGATTTGGAGAGTGCATCTTATTATTATAATAACTTAAGTATATGAATGTGTATTGTGTAAACCAACAACTTTATTTAGGAAAAATACATGTTTGTGGAGACAAATTGGTTGCTGTTTGGTGGATTTATCCTACTAAAATTATTGTAGAAGAACAAAGTGCACTGTGCGGGGCTTAAGTATTTATAAAAGCAATAGTAATAAAAGGGGCTTAAGTATTTATAAAACCAATAGTAATACAGTTGCAGCTACAACACACGTGTAAATTCCTCCAACTTAACACACAAATATGCAGCAAAAGAAGTAAACTAGGTGGAATACACGCTTAGTAAACCCAGTGGAGCGCTAATGTTTGAATATACACTTACTCCTTTTATTAAAGGGGAAAAGATAGATGTTGAGGAAATACAGCTGAAGCAAGATAAAGTGGCAAAATATAGTGCAATATGTTTGGGATAATTGAAGTGGTTTAAGGTGTGTATACAACGCACTCACATGGAGCAGAGCCCTATCCTTGTAGTGTTCTCATATCATTACTTTCTTTAGTTACTGGTAAATAGCCTTGCACCACATTTGTATCACTGTCCTGTGTATTTTGTTGATGTTGTTGTGTTCTCTTTTGTTGTTTTTTTTTTCTCTTTCATTTTCACTGAAAATTGTTTACACCTTTACCATATTTTGCAAAGACTTCTACTGGTGACATCCCTACTTGGGGTATGGTGATTTTCAAATGCAGTCAATGTGAGGATTTTATAAAATATCTATGTTAATGAATTAATCATATTTATTTATATAGTGGCTACCAAGTTAAAGGACCACTATAGTGCCAGGAAAAAAAACTCGTTTTCCTGGCACCATAGGGTCTTTAGGTCCCCTTCACCCTCAGGGTTCCACTCTCACCGGGCTGAAGGGGTTAAACTCTTACCTTTCTCCAGCGCCAGGCTCCCTCTTCCGACGTCAGCGGCAAGAGCCATGCACGCATTCAATCAGTCCATAGGAAAGCATTTCTCAATGCTTTCCTATGGACGTCAGCGTCTTCTCACTGTGATTTTCATAGTGAAAAGTGCGGAAGCGCCTCTAGCAGCTGTCAATGAGACAGCCACTAGAGGCTGGATTAACCCTAATGTAAACATAGTAGTTTCTCTGAAACTGCTAAGTTTTCAGCTGCAGGGTAAACCCTAGATGGACCTGGCACCCAGACCACTTCATTGAGCTGAAGTGGTCTGGGTGCCTATAGTGGTCCTTTAAATAAAGACACACTAAAAAAACAGTAGCTAATTTTTCACAGACTAGATATATATTTCCTTGTGTAAACCAACCACATAATGTTTCTGTACTGTTTCTGTTCTATTTTTCAGGTTCCTCATCAAGCAGCAGGCAAACGAACGCCTTCCTTATTTACCTCGTCTTATTCACAGATGTAGATAGCCACAGCTATAGAATGGGGACTATAAAACTCTTATTTGCACTGGGAGCCTTGAAAGGTGAGATATATAATCTATTACTGCATTAAAATGTATTTTCTCTTGCATTTAATTGTAATGGGTGAATGTGCCTTGTATTAATATGTTGTAGAACAAATTGAAATCCCGATGAAAAAATATATAGAATGCAAAACGTGTAAATAGTTAGTTCTTCCGCTGCCATGTTTTAGAATTGCTATTTCAATTCCCAGTAAAATAAACTCAGATTTTCATTGTTCCAAAGTATGGCAATGCATGGTGGTAGAGACATATACCACCAGTGCTGGATTAAGAGCATGTTGGGCTTGGTGCTGACGATTATAATGGGCCTAATTACAGAATCTTATACATGGAACTAAAATGGCCAGACTTTCCATGTTTCTTGAATCTGGCAGAAGTGGTGCTGGAGAGATGCTTGCAGGCTACATGCAGGGCCGTCTTTAATAACGAATGGACCCTGGGCAAGTGTTTGCTTGGGCCCCCTGGGCCCTGACGCTCTCGCCCCTCACTCCCTGGTATGCAATCGCGGCATCCATCCCAACGCAGTGGCGGTACTAAAGTAGAATGAATTTTATTGGGACCCCCAATTGCAAGGTTGGACTAAAGGTAGAACCCCATCTGTCGTGCAACTCCAACAATGCTTTGACAGCTGGGACTCTACCAATTTCCCATGCTTGCAGGGTTGTATTTAGCACTGAGCCATGTTAGTATGTTTGAATGTAAGCATGTGTTTGTATGGAGTATGTTTGTGTGAATGTGTTTGTATGTGGTACTGGAGTTTGAATGCAAGTGTGCATTTATGTGTAGTGTTTGTTTTTGAATGTAGGAGTGTGCTTGTATGTAGTGTTGACGTTTCAATGCAGGAGTGTGTTTTATATGTAGTGTTGAAGTTTGAATGGAGGGGTGTATTTGTATTTAAAGTTGCGGCTCAGATGCACAGGTACACACTCTGACGCACAAGCAGATACACAGATACATACACTGACCACATACAGATAAACAGGCACATACACTGACAGACACACTGACACAGGTACATATATTGACACACACACAGACACATACACTGGTAGACGTACTGACAGACATACTGACACAGGCACATATACAGACATACTGACACACAGACACATATACCCACATACTGACACACACACACACAGACACATACACTGATCAACATACTGACACACATACACTGACAGAAATACTGACACCCACACACTGACAGATATACTGACACCCACATACACTGAGAAATACTGACACACACACACAGGCACATACACTGACACACACAGACTGATATACTAACACACACACACACAGACATACTGGCACACAGACAGATATACTGACACATGCATACACATGCACTAACAGACATACTGACGCACTGACAGACATACTGACATACACAGATATACACACATATATACTGACACACAGACAGACAGACATACTGACACACACACACACACACTAACACACACATACACTAACACACACATACACTAACACACACATACACTAACACACTAACACACACACTAACACACACACTAACACACACACACATACACACACACAAACACACATACACTAACACACACTAACACACATACACTAACACACACTAACACACATACACTAACACACAAACACAAACACACATAAACACACACACACACTAACACACATACACTAACACACACATACATACACTAACACACACACACTAACACACACATACATACACTAACACACACATACATACACTAACACACACTAACACACACATACACACACACAAACACTAACACACAAACACACATCCACAAACACACACATTAACACACAAACACACAAACACATACACTCACACATACACACATTTTTTTTTAAAATGTAATCCCCCCAGCCTCCTTACCTTTTGGAGTGCTGGGGGGATTTCCTGGGGTCCAGTGGTGCTGCTGGGCGGGTGGCCGGTCGGGCAGGAAGGCGGGCGCGCGAGAGAGCACTCACTGCTTCCTCTTCAGCTCCCTCGCGCGCCGCGTAGGGATGTCGGCGCCGGAAGATGACGTCATCTTCCGGCTCCGGCATCAGTGCGGTGCGCGAGGGAGCTGAGAGAAGCAGTGAGTGCTCTCTCGCGCGCCCGCCTTCCTGCACGCCACCCCCCACCGGGGTCAGCGGGGCCCACGGGGCAGGTGCCTCGGGCCTCCAAAGAGAAACTGGGCCCGGGGCAGCTGCCCCGTTTGCCCCGCGTTAAAGACGGCCCTGGCTACATGTTAAGTCTACATACCCTATGTCAATCTCTCTCTTCCATCTATCAACCCATTCTATCTGTCCATCTTACGTGCCCCACAGGTCTCATCTATTCTCTCTCACTTATGACTCTGCCTTTTAATTCTTTCTCCTCTCCTTCCCGTCATGCTAGTAGGCAGAAGCTTGCTTGTTGTATGCAGTCGGAGAGAGAGAAAGAGGTGGTTGTAGTGAGTGTAGCAGAAAAAGGGGACATGCCCCACCGCCACATAATGACAGTGATGCTGGGCTGTGAGAGAGTTAGAAGTAGCAAAAGCAAAATTATTTGCTCCTCTGCATACCTCTTAAGTTACCTTTATCCATTCCCTCTGCAAATGTGTGTGTGTATATATATATGTATATATATATACATATATATATACACACACACACATTTGCAGAGGGAATGGATAATGGTAACTATACATATATATATATATATATACACACACACACACACACACACACATTTGCAGAGGGAATGGATAATGGTAACTTAAGAGGTATGCAGAGGAGCAAATAATTTTGCTACTATATATATATATATATATATATATATATATATCAATGTATTAGGTTTAATGGCCTGTTTGAATGGGGTGCTGCAGAATTATAACATAATAATTATAGCATTGAATTCTGAACCTGAGACAATGACCCCATTTGCTCAGCACCTTGCTAACAAACTAAGGCAAGCGCCAAGTGTATAATTTCTTATCGTTCATACCACATTCCATTCTTCTAAGGTTGATAACTGATTAACATCAAACTTTCAGGGCATAGCTGGATCTAGTGAACACCGCATGGACCTTTTTAGTTAACTAGCCATCTGACTATAAGGCTCAACTGTTTTCCTACTGTAGTTCAGCTTGTAAAAATAAAAGCAAGCTTGGCAATATAAATCTCTTCATTTCTGGTGTTGTATTTTCCACAAAATGCAATGTTGTTTTGGTTGTGATTACTATTAATTTTATTGAATATTGAATTTTATTAAATAATCTAATGTATATATACAAATGCCAGTAACAGCTCTGAAAATGCAACAGTGACATGTTCCTGAAATTAAGAAAGGCTGTAGATTTCTTAAAGCGTCACTACAGTCACCAAAACAACTTTAGCTTAATGAAGCAGTTCTGGTGTATAGATCATGCTCCTGCAGTCTCATTGCTCAATTATCTGCCATTTAGGAGTTAAATCACTTTGTTTATCACTGCATGTGATTGACCCAGCCTTCCTTAACACTTCCTGTAAAGTGAGATCTAATGTTTATACTTCCTTTATTATACAGTCTGTTTAATTTAGAATTTCTTATCTCCTGCACTATTACTATCTTACTAGACCTTGCAGGAGCTTCCTCTGTGTGATTAAAGTTCAGTTTACAGAGCAAGAGATAAAAACTTCTAAAATCTGATTGAAAATTAAAAAGAATTTTCATGCAGGCTGTGTGAGTCACAGCCAGAGTAGATGTAGCTAGGGCTGCATGGACAGAGGCAAATATGGTTTAACTCATAAATGGCAGAGAGTTATGCAATGAGACATCAGAGGCATGAAGTTGTTTTTTTCGTGGCTAGAGTGTCCCTTTAACCTCTTAAGGATGCTGGATGGAAATTTTCCATCATTGCAGTCCTCCCCTTAAGGACGCAGAAATCTCCTCTCTTCTTTAAGAAATGGTAAGCCTTTGTGGGGTAGTTGGAATAATCAACCTACTTAAAAAACTCCAAAGTGGGGTATGGACCCATTGTTAAAATTCAAAGTTTGAAAAAAACTTAAATGGCTGTGTCTCAAATGTGCCCTTCAACGTCCACATATACCTAACAAAGGTACATATCGGGGTATTAATGTGCTTAGACGACATAGCTAAGCAACATATGAAGTATTATAAAGCCGTAGCACACATAAGGTTTGCTAAATACACAGTACAAACTCAGTGTGTGTCAAGCTAGCGGAAAAATGATCCAGCGCTAAGGTTCAAAATATGCCTTTTGAAATACCCTTGATTGTCTTCTTTAAGAAATAGTATATCTTTTAAGGGTAGTTGGAATAAGCAGCCTGCTAAAATATTTCAAAATAGAACACGAACCCATCAAACCATCTAGGAAAATGCACACTTAAAAATCTGAAATTGACAGGTCTCTGTTACAGCACTGTAACTTCACAAAATAGTGTCTAGGTCATACACTGGGCATATTATTTTACTCAGAAGAGGTAACTAGGCATACTTAGAGGGATTTTATGACAGTGACACTTATCAAATGTACAAAATAACCAGCAAAATTGCAACATATATGTACAAAATAAAAAAAATATTCTCACCACAAAATTTGAATTAAATTGACGGAAAAAATGGTGGCACGTTAATCTATAATATATGCCTAATAAGATACCCTGGAGTGTCTGCTTCCTCAAATGGAAGGCCATTGTGGAGTTATTTGAACAGTCAAACTACTATAATGCCACAAAATCAGACATCTATAAAAATTCTACATATAGAAACTAAAATAGCATGGTCTCCTATCTGGCATTGTAGCTTCACAGATTAGTGGCATAGGCATACAATAGGGGTATTATTGTACTCGGCAGATGTAGCTGAACACAATATGGGTTCTGTGGGTATCTGTACAGGATTAGCACACACCAGCTTTACAAAATACACATTGCAAAAACTGTGTTATATCTGTATTTGTGTTAAGGGCTCATGATAGTACAGAAGATACAAACACTGATAAGTGTGGGATAGTGTGAAAGAGCAAGTCGGTTGTGGTGTGCCGGAACCGACGATGAGGTAGGCCTGCAAATAAAGAGGGCCCACCAATAAGAAATGTATGAGAAAAAGGAGTTAATAAAAGAGGAGTGGGTGGGAGGGTGATGCAGCGCTGACCTCGAACGGTATGGAGCCAGGTAAGGGGTGTCCCTTAAGTAGGGAGAAGGTGAGTCATACGCCCCTCCCACAATTACAGGCCAAAAGGCCTTAATACTTGTGTTAAGGGCTCATGATAGTACAGAAGATACAAACACTGATAAGTGTGGGATAGTGTGAAAGAGCAAGTCGGTTGTGGTGTGCCGGAACCGACGATGAGGTAGGCCTGCAAATAAAGAGGGCAAAAGTAGAAAATATACTTTATTACGAAACGAGCAATATACATACTTCAACCAGACATATCTTGAAAGGCATTTCTAACTTCTTGTACCGGGTTAGGTATGTATCTAGAGTATGCAGAAGACTTCCAGCGCCCTAGTGACTTGATAACATGTACTGGAATGTTTGCACTGGACGCTGTGGAGGCCGCCCCTATGCGGAAGGAGTGGCCCGAATAGTTAGCTGATTTTAGGCCTAGTTGTGTAAGTAGGGACCTGACGTGGGTCATGAAGGTGGTGGTAGTGAGTACCGAACCTTGTAGACAGAAAAGTGGTTGAGATGGTGATGCTTTGAAATGCTGAGTATAGGTGTCCAGTAATGTGACGGGGCACCACACGTTGTGGGTAGGATAGTATCTAACCTCTACCGGGGGTGCGTGTTGATTGGTTTTGGAGTGATGCAGAGCTAAAATATAGTAATCCATGTGTTTCGTTAAGTGTGAATGAAGCAGAATGTGAGTGGACTGGGATGTGTTGATGGCGGTAAATTCTCTTGGTCTCAAGAAACCATAAAAAGCTACGTATATGGCGGTTTTTATAACAAGGTTTGTGTTGTTCGCAAAGGGTTTTGAATCTAGTAGGCTGGATAAATCCTTGAAGATATTGAAGTCTATAGGTAGCCTTTGCGCGGTACGTGGGGGTTCGGATCTCTGGATACCTCTAAGGATGTTTTTATCTGGTAGGAGGACATGAAACTTGTGTTGTTTGGTTGTAATGTTAGCATGTGATGTTGTATGCCTGTCAGATATAGCTTGATTGTGTTGTAAGATAATTTAAGTTTGAGGTGGCAAAAAGAAGCAAAACCTAACAAAGATGTCATGATGAAAGGTTGTGTGACGTTGTGCAGTGACAGGAATCTTTTAAATAGAAGGAAAGCCCTGTCATATGTTCTCCGGGTATTGGTGGACAGTGCTAATTGTGCCAATGTCCTGCTATGTTGCATAATAGCTTCTAGTCCATAACTAGCTGGTGGAAAGGTGGAGTGGTCGTGGCTGTACGTGCGGCTGACGGAAGTATTTGCCGAAAAGCCTGAAAATTGAAACGAGACAAATTGTCAGCAGCCGTGTTACAAACACCTGGGACATGGACACAAAACAAGAAGAAATTATGGCATGCAGCCAGCCAGGTGAGTTTCCTCAAGAACCTCATAATGGTCAGTGACTTGGATCGGCCTTTGTTTATGATGTGGCAGGTAGCTTGGTTGTCTGAGTGGCAACGTACTGACGAACCTGCCCATAGATGCCCCTATGTCACGGCAGCTGCCACAATGGGATACATCTCAAATAGAGCTGAGGTAGTGGAAAACCTTCCAGGTCCTGTACCTCTGGAGGCCAGCTACCCCAAAGCCATTCATTCCCGTAAATTGCTGCAAAACCTGTGGTAGACGCCGCGTCTGACCAGATGGTAGGTGAGGAGTCAGACAATTTAGGGAGAAACATGCTTTTCCCATTCCAGGTGGTCAAAAAGTTTCTCCATATAAGTAGGTCTGCCGTGGCTTGGGTATCCAGTGGTAACCTGTGTGCATCATGTCTAAACAGTGGGAACATGGTTAGGAGCCGTGAGATGAAAGCCCGGCCTTGAGGTATAATGCGCATGGCAAAGTTCAGTGACCCAAGTAGAGACTGCAATTCTTTGCGATTGCAAGTACCGAGGTGTATGTAGAGGTTAATGTTGGTGAGAATGTTCTCTATCTTGGTGCGTGGCAGGCTGGCTTGCATGGTGGCTGAGTCTAGCATGATTCCCAGAAAGGTGATGACTGTATCTGGTCCTTCAGTTTTGGTGGGGGAGACTGGAACACCCACCTGTTTAAAAAGACTGATGGTTTCTATGAGGCTACTGGGAGGGGAAGTGTTCTCTTCGATCAGTAAGAAATCCTCCAGGTAGTGTATAACTGTAGGGCATCTGGCTACATTTAATAATAACCAGCATAATGTTTCGGCGAATACGTCGAAAATGGCCGGACTACTTTTTGAACCAAACGTTAGGCGTGAGAAAAAGTAGTAGTGCCCGGCCCACTTAATGCCATGCAGGTGCCATAGTGTAGGGTGGATAGGCAATAATTTGAAGGCATTTGTAATGTCAGTCTTGCTGAGCCATGCTCCGACCCCTGCCAGCATGATAGCTGTAATGGCGTGATCTATGGTGGAGTATTGAAGTGAAAATTCCTCAGAGGGGATAAGGGAGTTCAGACTAGGTGAGGCAGAGGTGTGAGGTGCAGACAGATCGATGATAAATCTTTGTTTGTGGGAAGATTTCCCTGTGACAATACCGATGGGGTTTGTCCGCCATGTGGAAAAAGGAGGGGACTGAAAGGGTCCCAATAGGAAGCCCTCTGCCACTTCTTTGGCTAGGGGTGTGCTAACCGCTGTAGGGTTTTGTTGTGCAGATTGTAAATTAGGACATTCAAGGATTCCTGAAGGCATGTGTATGAGACCAGTATGGAATCCTTGTGATAGATCAGTGATGATGAAGTCTACCAAATGTCTAGATGGATGTTGTGACAGTAATGCCGTGAGTACAGAAATATTTATCTCAGTTAAGTATTGCTTAGGGTACATTTTATTTGGACACATGGTTTTCGCATGTGCCCTAAAACATTTTGAACATATATGCAATAACCGACAACCGCTGTAATTACATGCACCGACATTGAAATTATTACATATTTGGGACTTCCCCAAAAACTTGATAGGTCGACCCAGTTTGTCTTTGGGTGTTCTCTCTGCTGACACAGCGGAGCTAGTGCCCTGCGAGGTGGTAGGTTCGTTCGCAGTGGTCGGACAAAAATTGGCAGTATGAGCCATGGAGGAGCAGTGTGCACAGGCCGGTGCTCTTAGACCTGCAAAGTGCCTGCAAAAAATGATCGTATCAATCTTACTCCAGTTGGACCTTGTCCCGTACTGTGAGAAGGCGCCAGACACTTTGGCAGAAAAGGATCTATGGTAGTCATAGAAAGCTGACCCACCATATTTGTTGCCCAGATCAACCAGCCTGTGCATATATAAGTCAAACTCCTCACGTCTGTGGGGATATACCGTACAGATCACATCCCGATAAATGCCAAAAGCTAATACAAATTCTGGAATGGTTAGCTTCCTATTTAATCGTGCATCCCTAGATTTGACCACCACAGAAATATCGTCATAAGCGTAGGTCTTATGTTCCACTATATCCTGGGAGGCAATTAGTAGTGAGGCCAGATTGACATCTTTACCTTCCAGGATATCTCTCCTGAGGTGCTCAGGAATCATGTGTGCAGGGTAAACCTCTTGGTCATCCGAGGTGATAGCTGGAGAAACTGATTGCGATTCCACCACTGATGGGGGAATTGCCGTGGCCGGTCCAGCCATAGTGAGGGCTGTAGTGACCGATTCAAGTTTCTCCAGCCTAGAATTGACCTTGCTCATGGATGCCATGAGGGACGTGAGCATGTCATGTATGTTTCCTGGGTTGGACTGGCTCGACCCTTCCCCAGCGTCCATGTTATCGGTTGAGGTGTGTAGTAATTTGTAAAGTTCCGCTTTCCTTGCTGTTGCTGGAAAAGGGATTTGTCGTCTCCTGAGTTCGCTAGTGATGCGAGGGATAGTCCGTGATCTGAAAGATGCTGGACTAGCCGTATCTTCCTCCTGTGATGGGGTGTTTGTTCTAGCCGGAGTCCTTGGGATGGAGAAATCCTCTACCCCTTCTTGAGACATACTAGATTACAAAGTATATGGTTAGCGTAAAAACCCCCAGGGGATGTACTGGCAGGCTAATTATGCCGGATGAGGTGAAAAAATTAATCTTGTTCTTTGGTGACAGGTGAGGCCCTGCTAGTTGCCAAGTGGCTATGAGAGGCTCTATCTATGCGTTGGCGCGAGGGGTTATTTGAGGCCACCCGACGTAGTGGCAGGAGTTCGTAGGCCTCTCGGTGACAATACAAGAAAACAGGGGAAGGGAGTGACAGGTGGCACCCTCTCTATAATTGCGAGGCGGCTAACTCACGTGTGGCCCGGGGGGCATTACCTCCGAAACGTTGAGGCGGGGTGTTGGCCTCGCGGACCACTAAACGATAGGCAGAATGCCCGGAGGGGGGATACCTATTTGGGCCTATAACCCCTAAAATTTGCCAGTACTCTATGTCCTAAGTAGAGAAGGAACCATATGTGATGTATGGCGTGAGCAGGCTTAACGTACCTGGTAGTATGTATGAGTTTGATAAGCGATAGGTAAAGAAAACTGGAAAAAACCTAAAGGGATAGAAAACCAGATATGATAGTGTGAGAATTGGATCCTATGATACCAATTTAGACTAGTTAGCTGTGATGAGTGCTAGCAGTACATATGGAAGGGGAATTTATGAATGGTATTGGCCCGACTGGCCCTGTTATGTGGTATGGTAACCATGCTCAGGCAGGGTGTGTATGATATGTCTCTATGGTGACAAGATTAATGCGTATGATTTAGTAATGCTAGTGTTTGTAGTATAATAAGGTGCAGGATTTAAAACAATACTGTATATTTTAGGCCGTAAACGTAAGCCATGAAAAGAGGTAAGTACGAGGTACAGAAATATTTGAGAAATTATCCCAAATTAGGAAAACAACGTGACGTATGAGTGGTTGAATCAAGACGTGTGATTCAACCCGAAAGTTTGTGAGATTTTTTGAGACCGTGTTCTTGTGTACTTGGTATGTCGTTTGAGTACACAAAGAAAAAGTCAGAATATATAAGTGCCATGTAAGAAACGTGAGTACATGGTATGATAGAAACGTAATTTCTAAACATAATTTATAACCTAAATCCTACATGAAATATCTGAAAAAATGTAAAAGCTTGTTTAAGCATAACTCCATAAATATATGTATATAACATGAAGAATTTCAATAAAACTTAATAATGCCATATCTGCTAATAGATTGAAACCATAACCTAATAAATACTTATTTATAAGTAGTTAACAGGGGTATTGCCCCAGTCATATGCAAGGATTTCGTAATTTGCATAAATAAATAACAGTAATAACATGAAACCAACTATAGCTACTGATATTGCAGAACAAGTTTGCTTAGTACAAGAAACCGAAACCGACATGCCTGCCGGCAGAAAAGGGGTTAATATGCCTGTAACTTGGCCGTAAAGCGTGTGGCCGTAAAGTAAGGCCGTTTTAAAATTGCGACACCGTGGGAAATGATCCGGGCGACGGACTTACGATTTTGCAGTCCTGTGGACTTAATCTGCGACGAAACACCGGGTATGTGCGTGGCTGACACGGGCGGAAAACCTGTAAGGATTCCTGGACACAGCTACACCAAACGAAACCGCGGATTTTTTGAAAAGCAAGATGGCGCCGTACGTGAACCGGAAGTGGATTCTCATGCAGCGCTGACCTCAAACGGTATGGAGCCAGGTAAGGGGTGTCCCTTAAGTAGGGAGAAGGTGAGTCATACGCCCCTCCCACAATTACAGGCCAAAAGGCCTTAATACATGCCAGAGATTGGCAGTGAAATGGCTACGTAAAAGGTGTCAAAATAACCTTTGGTAAATAGCCTGTGATGTCTACTTTATATAAATATATACTTTTGTGTGGCAATTTTGTTTTCTGTGATGGGTATTAAACTTCCAAGACAAACATACAAACTTCTCAAATAGTTTCACATTGAAATGTTATTTTAACAAAATAAACTGAAATCCTACACATATTATGTACTCTAAATCAAGACACATAAATGAATTAATTTTGAATTACATTTCCTAAGCTAGATGTATTATGCACACGTTATTATTGCCAAAACTTGGGGGGTAATGCATTTTGTTTGTTTGTTTTTTTCCATTCACAAAACAATTTGTAATAAATGAGAATTTATATATGTTCACATCAAATTAAAGCCCTTTTTGTCGTCTGAAAAACTGTATTTAACCCCTTAACGCCATTACGGCGTTCTATGCCGTCCGGCATTAAAAGGGCATTAAAGCCGTTGCGGCTCAGCCGCGATCCTCTTCTGGAGGGCTGCCTGACATCACATGGCCCCCTATAGCTGGCTGTGCATCTGCCAGCAGGGGGACTATCTGAAATGTCAGACAGTTCCCCTGCTGGTGGGAAAGTAAAAAAAAAAAAAAAGAATTAAACATGTGTAAAATTTAAATAGAAATGTATTTATATATATATAATATATGTATATATATTATACATATATAATATATATACATATATATATATGAAACGTCATACAAAGTGTATTTTAATATTAATATAAGTACATATATTAGTATTAAAATACACTTAGAATGACGTTACATATATATATATAATATGTATATATTATATATATATATATAATAGATATATACACATATATTATATATATATATATATATATATATATATATATATATATATATATATATATATATATATACGTATAATTACAATAATAAATAAAATAATAAAATTAGTAAATAAAATATTGAAACAAAATTTTATATAAATTATATATTCATATGTAATTTCATTCTAACTGTATTTTGTTATTAATATATATATATATTGGTAACAAAAAAACACTTAGAATGACATTCTATATATATATATATCTATATATAAAATACAAATAACCGCAAATATATATATATATATATATATATATATATATATATATATATATATAGATAAATACATATAATTACATAAAAGATTACATTAGTATACACGTAGAATTTAAATACATATAAATGCATATATATTAAAATTCTACATGTATATTTAAGTAATCTTTTAACATAATTATGTGATTTGATTAATTAAAATGTGATTGACATGCCTGACAACACAGGGAGAAAGTGCAGAGAATTTAATTTGCAAGCACTATATTTGACCCTGTAACTCTCCAAGACACCATAAAACCTGTACATAGGGGGTACTGTTTTACTCGGGAGCCTTTGCTGAACTCAAATATTAGTGTTTCAAACTGGTAAATTGTATTACAACGATTATATTTTAAGGAAAAGTTACGTTTGCCTTTTTTACAAACAAACGGCACTTTTATGGACTATATTATTGTTGTAATATGTTTTACTGTTTTAAAACACTAATATTTGTGTTTAGTGAAGTCTCCCGAGAATAACAGTACCTCCCATGTAGAGGTTTTATGGTGTTTTGGAAAGTTAGAGAGTCACATAGAAGGCTTGCATTTAATTTTTTTGACATTGAAATTTGCCAGATTGGTTATGTTGCCTTTGAGAGCGTATGGTAGCCCAGGAATGAGAATTACCCCCATGATGGTATACCATTTGCAAAAAAAGACAACTCCAGGTATTGCAAGTGGGGTATGTCCAGTCTTTCTGAGTAGCCACTTAGTCACAAACACTGGCCAAATATTATTTTTTTGCTTTTTTTTTACACAAAAACAAATATGAACGCTAACTTTGGCCAGTGTTTGTGAATAAGTGGCTACTAAAAAAGACTAAAGATACCCCACTTTCAATACCTTGGGTTGTCTACTTTTTCAAATGGTATGCCATTATGGGGGTAATTCTCATTCCTGGGCTACCACACCATCTCAAAGGTAACATTACTAATCTGGCAAATTTCAATATGAAAATGGAACGTTCTATATGTGACCCTGTAACTTTCCAAAACACCATAAAACCTGTTAATGGGGGGTACTGTTGTACTCATGAGACATAGCTGATTACAAATATGTGCATTTGTTTGTAGTAAAACCTAACAGTATTATGACATTCACAGCTAAAATGTCAGACGGAAATATAAATGTAAAAAAAAAATCTTATTTTCTCACAGTTTTTTAAATTTTATTAATAATAAATTAGGTTCCATATATGAATAGTTAATGATAAATTAAAGCCCTGTTTCTCCTGAACAAAATGATATATAATAAGTGTGAGTGCACTTAATGTGACAGCGGTGAATTACGGTTGAACAGACATAAAGCGCAAATTCCAGTTTTGGTTTATGTTTTGTTTTGATCAGAACGTGCACTATTGACTCTGTCCTGAAGGGGTTAATATGCGTTGGTACAATAAATGACAGAGATGCAAACTGCAGTTGAACACAAACAGCAAAAAATTCAAAAATTGCTTGCATCCTTAAGGGTAAGACAAGTTTCTGAAGCTGTGTCCTTAAGGAGTTAAACTTCACCTTTTGAGACATAATACATATCTACATCTAAAACTGTGGGTGGGATGATATAGCTCAGCTATTATTTCAATGAACATCTGTCCATCAGAAGTTTATGGCACAAGTAGTTTAACACCGGCGTCACCCCAATAAGAAGTTCCAGTTATCACATGTGGAACTACACGGTACAGTCAGCAAATCGCATAATGTATGTTTTAAAGAGCTGAGGGTTGGCTTGGCTTGGCTTGGCTCTGCTTGGCTTGTCTTAGAACTACAGCTTTTTGTTACAAGGCTCTCAGATCTGAGAGTGAAATTGTCCAAAGTTTTGCTGGTGCTTTTTTTAAATCAAAAAATACAAATGACTCACTTCTAAATTAGAATTTAAATGCAGGTTTATGCTGATGTGCTTAAGCAGTCTTATGTCACCTCTTTTACGATCTTGTACAGTTTAGTCTGCCATGTAGGAATGCGCATGTGGATAACCAGCTTCCAGTCAAAGTCCAACTAAGTTAAATAAAAAGTAAAAATACCTTTTTCTGTCCAACTGCAGAAAAGCTGTGAGTATCAGGGAGGGTAAGGAGCGCATCGTCATTTAGATAGGGTACTGGATAGACATCAAGACACATTTTTTTTAACATATTTCTGAATAGTGCTCTGTACAGGAAATTGCACTTTTGTTATCCCTTCATATGCTAGCTATGCGTCCAGTGTATGTATGAGTTAACGCATTATTATTTCTTTTTTCTTTAAATGTTTATATGGAAAGTAGATAGATCAAGTATTTTTTGTTTTAGCGGTTTTCTTATCTTGTTGTTTTCTGTGTTTCAGTGGTTCTTATGCAAAACATCCATGTATCGCAAACACCTAAAGTAGTGACAGAAAATGGCAGCACAGTCACTTTGCAATGTGGCTACACCCTCAGAAATACAGATATGCCAAAATATGGGTGGTACAGTTGGAGCAGACATATGATATCTGGACAAGAGGTATCTAATGTCAGTGAGTATTTCTCAGGCAGAGTGTCCAAAGTCAGTCCTGTTGATTTCATTAGCAAAAGAGTAGCAGATATTCACCTGCACAGAGTGGTTGTTTCGGACACAGGCGTATATTTTTGTGAAATTTATCTACATACCATCAACATTATGATAACAGGTCAAGGACATGGAACATTCCTGCTTGTGACAGGTAAGATAAATAAAGATAAATAAATCAATGATTTTCACTTAATCCAGTGCTTTGCTAATCGTCCATTAGAAAGCATTAGCTCATAGTCTATATTTATTTACATATAAAAAAATATTGAAGGATAGCACTCCAAGGACTTAATATAAAATGTAACTTTTATTACCTTCTAAATAAAAACGGTCAACGTTTCAGCTTGATCCCCTCACGCTTTCAAGCCTGAAGGGATCAAGCTGAAACGTCCTTGGAGTGCTATCCTTGAAAAAAATTTGTGTTTTTGTCTGGACAAGCACCGGGCGTGATATTCGTTGTTTGAGTGGAGTGCAAGATTTGTTACTATTTCTTATTTACATATATATATATATATATATAATTTTTTTTTGACTATTTTTATTGCGTTTCAAAGAAAACAAATAAACATAGACCATACAATGTTAGCAATATAACAACTCAATTAGGATAGAGGAACATGTATATATCTGCCTGAATAAAAATTAAAAGCTAAAAGTGGGTACAAATAAAAGGGGGTGGCAGGGAGAGAAGCAATTGATACTGGTGGCATATATAACAGGCATGATTGGTTCTTACAACCTATGAAATAGCATAATATCTGAACAATAATCTGAAAATACAGCACCTAAATTAGCCTCCGTTGTTTTTTTAATGAACTTGTAGGTTTAGTCAGCTCTCACGACAACCTCATCTTCCCCACATCGAAGGAGTCTTGACCCCACAGAAACTCATCCCACTGATTCTGTTTTTTTACCATGGCCTTGTTCTGGTGTATTTGGCAGTGTCCATAAGCTAAAATGAGGGATATTTGCTGGGTCAGATCCTGGTACGTAGGAATATTGGGGGGACTTTCACGCTCAAGCAATAAATGTGGTTCAATGCTGCTCTATTTCCCCTGTGATCTGCTTACATGATATTTTAATACACATGCGCTAGACGCACTGACGTCATACATTCCCGTGGGATACGCGATGACGTCAGATGCAATTACAGACGCTAGATACGGAAACTGTCTTTCATGCACATGGGATGCAGCGAAGGAATTGAAAGGGTATTGCAATTCTTCCACAGCTGTTTTTATTTAGGTATCTAAATTTAATTTGGTAGTGGGTATAAATTTAGGAATAGATGCCATTTAACTCTAAGATCCCCCTGACGAAGGCTGAAAATTGGGGAGTGAGAGAGTCTCGAGCTTTGGGTTAGTATATCCCTTATGCTTATTTGTATTGGATTATTAGTGAGAACTTTAGTGCCTGGGTAGCTATTTATTTGGTGCATTCTCGGCATGTATGCACTTTATTTTCTTTGGAGTATTTCATCTTGTATTTTGAATAAATATTTTTCTATGCAATTCCATAAGATGTGCCTTGAGTTTATTTTTCCTCAAATGGATCTGACCTTGATCCAGATAGAAGTACAGTAGTCGTTGGATTTGTATATAAAGCTTTATAAGCTTTTATAAATCCAATTGGTATTCCATATTTCATTAATGTTTGAAACAAAAATCCCAATGTAAGCGGTCAAATACCTTCTCAGCATCAAGTGACATGAGAAAAAAAAAGATAAAAAACTTTTAAAGTAAGTTAACATCTGATTGAAAATGAAATCAATTTGTTGTCATGCAGGCTGTGTCAGTCACAGCCAGTTGAGGTGTGGCAATGGCTGCATAAAGAGAAACTAAAGTGATCTAACTCATAAATGGCAGATAATTGAGCAGTGAAAATTCAGAGGAATGATCTATACACAAAACTGCTTTATTTAAGCTAAAGTTGTTTTAGTGACTAGTTTCCATTTAAGTTCTTTTCCCGTTTAACAATTGACTTGGGTCTAATTTATCCCCTTATGGATAAGATTAATTAAGAATAGTTTGCAGTGAGTTTATAATAATATTTTTGTTCTATTATCTTTGTTAACGGTTGTAGTGGTTTGAAAGAACATCATGGTTTAAATATTTCATTCAAAACGGAAGAAATTCTCATATAACTCAAAAATGCTCAATTTGCTATCTGGGGCTTGTGCTGAATAGAATGGAGAGGGGGGTCTTTGTATAAATTGTCTGTACCAATAAAGCATTTGTGTTGTACTCCCAGAGCTGTGTGTCGTCCAGTTACTGAGGGAATGGGTATCTTTCGGCTATAAGTTGTTCCAGAGTGGCTGAGGGAAGGAATTAGTGGAGGTAACCGGTCAGGTTACCTGGGGTCCACTACAGTTGGTAATATAGCATCAAAATGTAGTATTTTCTAAATGGAGAATGATGTATAATTTTAATGCTGCATACGTTTTTGAGTAGTTTATTTAAACTATATGATTGTATCATGTTTCCCTTTTTTGTCTTCTACGAATTACATTGGCTCACATTTATTACTACACATATCATTTATCACAGCCCCTACTTGCTTCTGAAGGGTCAGACAGATACTGTATGCTAGATAAATCAAAAGAAGTAGGGCGCGCCTTGTTAAAAATATATAAAATGTATCAATAAAAACGTACAATAAAAGATGAAAATAAAAAGAGTCCAGATATTATAGTCTGTGGATAAAAGATGAAAATAAAGAGTCCAGATATTATAGTCTGTGGACTATAATATCTGGACTCTTTTTATTTTCATCTTTTATTGTACGTTTTTATTGATACATTTTATATATTTTTATCAAGGCACGCCCTACTTCTTTTGATTTATCTATTTCTGTTCTAGCCTTAGGGGATAGAAGGGTTACCCCCTTTAGGTGTGCTGCCTTTTTATAATTTATAATTTATACACCTTCTGTGGCATTATCAGCGCTGATCCTACCTTGATCCTTTTTTAGATACTGTATTCTGCACATAACAAAATTAACTTATACTGTTTACTTATTTTCCAGCTCCCAAATCACCAAGCCCCAAACACAGTAATGCCATGTTAAACGCTCAAAGAGTGCAATCAACAACATTGCCCTCTATAATGGAGTACAATATCACAGGTCAGTATTCTACATCTTATCACTAGCCTAATCACTCAGTTATTAAGTAATAGAGAACAAAACAAAATATCTAGTAACACTTTGTTTACTAATAATGACCCCAGAAATGTGCTCTTCTTGCAATATTTCAAAGGATTTTGTCCGTATTTCTAATGTGTATAAGACCTCTATTTGCTATCTGAAATGTGTTTCTGCAAAGCTTAAAGGTTTTTACATTTACTGCCATCCCTTAGATCGGAAATCTTTTTTTATACCACAATGGGTTCCCACTTCACATTCTCTAGTTGTTTATCCAGACATTGTAAAGGTAAACAAGGCTTGTTCCGCTTTATCTGCTGTTCTCAGTGTAGCACATAACTCGATTGTAAGACTGCCTCGAGAGCCACAGCTTGGAACTGTGAACCAGACTGTAAATAAACCATTGGCAGCTACCAAGCATTTGTTATCGAAACACTGAACAATTTCTCTCATCCTTTATGATGAATAAAACTAAAATTGGGGCTAAAAATATTTCATAAAATTCTGCTAAGCAGGGATTTATGGGAGAAGGAAACAATACAGTCTAGAATGAGATGTTCATAAGCAGTGGAACATCTTCCTTGTCTGGCAGTGATCTGTCTGCTGCAGACACTCATTCCTTCTGTGCAAGGGCTGCACTTTAAGTATTATCATATTTGTGTGCAGAATTGTGATTAATGTCTATCATAACATGATTTAGTGGCACCCTTACAGGTTGGTAATATAGGATTGAAATGTAGTATTCTCTAAATGGAGAATGATGTATAATTTTAATGCTGCATATGTTTTTGCGTACTTTATATAAAACTAAATGATTTTATCATGTTTCCCTTTTTTCGTCTCCTACAAATTACATTGGCTCACATTTATTACTACCTATATTATTTATCACAATTCTTATTTGCTACTGAAGTCTCAGACTGACACTGTATTCCGCACATAACACATCAAAATTAATTTATACTGTTTCCTTATTTCCCAGCTCCCAATTCACCAAGCCCCAAACACAGTAATGCCATGTTAAACGCTCAAAGAGTGCAATCAACAACATTGCCCTCTATAATGGAGTACAATATCACAGGTCAGTATTCTACATCTTATCCCATGCCTAATCACTCAGTTATTAAACAATAGAGAACAAAACAAAATATCCAGTAACACTTTGTATACTAATAATGACCCCAGAAATGTGCTCTTCTTGCAATATGTCAAATGATTTTGTCCTTATTTTTAATGTGTATAAGACCTCTATGGGCAACACAATAGCAAAGATTATTCCACAAATACTAATGATAAAATATATCTCAGTAGGTTCAGTGACCTCTTCATATATAGCAGCTTCATTTGCTATAATTCTGAACTTTTTCTGTAGTCAGCGATATTAAGAAGCACCATCACCTGCAAGTCCACTGCTTTCTGTTACACTGACTGTCATGTTCTTACCTAGGTTTCTCGTAACATCTTTTTGCAATAAAGTCTATTGAACTAAAAAAAATTTTTTGTCAATTTTTGATTTGTTTTTCACAGCTAGCTCATCAACTATTACCTAACTTCAGCTCCCATCAAGTGTCAATGTTTTGTGACAGTATGAGGGATTTCTGTTGTAGTGCATGGGAGATTTTCAGGGGGTCAATATACTCTTATCAAAATGTACAAGGCTGCAAAGGCTATTCTTTGAAATTAAATATAGCCGGGACACAGTTCACATCAGTATATATCAGAGCAGCATAAAATTGGAGATTAGCCTAGCCTTGGTGAAGGTATAGGCTAAAGATAGGAGACGGATATTTACTTCACTTTCTTTACAGAGACTTCCCAGCAGCAAACAAAGAGTTAAGTTCAGAAAAACAGTCAACCAATCAGAAAACAGTATAATGCATAAAACCCCAATAGGCCCATCCTACATCCTTATTCTTTGATGCTGCAAAACGGGTACAGGAAAAAGCAAAGTAGTCAGCACTCCAGCATCCAAAGCCAAGTAAAGGTCACAAGGGACATCAAACTAAAAGAGAACAGAAAAAAACTTGTGAGAGTAACGATCACTATCAAAAACATGCAAACAATCAACCTAACTAGAAAAGTATACAATTCAACAAATGTAGAAAGTCCAGCAACAACCTGCACAACACAGTAAACAAAACATAACCAAGCAAACAAAGACAATTCAAATGGACAAACACAGAACAGGTAAGACATCATGTGTCATGCAGATGAAGCAAACGTAACGTATGTAGCAAAATACATTATTAAAATTTAAACTATACCTTCACCAAGTCTAAGCTAATCCCCAATTTTAATACAAATCAGGAGGTTTAATATTTGCTCTTGTATTGCTGAGATACCACATCTCAGGCTGCATGGGGACACGGACGAAAGTAAAAGATCCGAAATGTGAACTCCCGAGACCAATCCACTGCAGACAGAAGACCTGCCACAAAGCCACCTGACAAAAAAGGACTATGAAATCACTGTACCACGAACCTCATGGGACCCGAAGGAACCGTTAACGCCCACCAAAGTAAGAAGCCAGCTTATTCAACATGCCACGGTAGTCATCAAAACTTGCTTGCGAGGGGGAAGAGAAGAGAGTAAGAGAGGACACAAGCAGGAAAAACAAAGAGGTTGTAGTAGTTAGGGTAATTCTGAATATAGCAAGCCATGCATAACCTGGGTAAATCCAAATTCCAGAATACAGATAGAAGACCGATGTTGAAAAGGGCTTAGTACAATGGAGGGAAAAAGATACCTTGTCCAACAAAAACAAATAGAGTCTGAATCAAAAGCATGGGCATCGAAAACATGGCAGAAAGAGACCAAACAGAGAAGAACTGCCAGTTTTGCAGAGAGTTACTGAAGGGATAAAAGGTAATTGTCAGGCCAGGATGATAAAAATCCAACAACAAAGAAACACCGCAAAACTGGAATACCGCAAAGATAGGGGCTTATGCAAATGGAGCCCCTAATGAGGTGACAGACTGACGGATCCTTGCTAAATACGACTTAACCCAAACATGAAGTGAAGACAGGAAATTAAGTACCGCCACTACAGGTGCTGTAAAGGGATCCATGTGTTCATCCACACACCAACGTTGCCAGATGTGCCAATCGGAAATGTACACTCAGCGGGTACTTGGGGCCTCTGAGTCCCACAGTAGGTTCCAATCAAAAGCAGATAGTCCCAACATTTCCCAGGATCCCTGGAAATCGACTAGGCCTCGAGAAGCAAGCATTTCTGGAGGAGCAATGGATTAGTCTTGGCAGGGTCCAGGAGCAGTAATGGGTGATGGGGAAAGAGCAGAGGGTCTGCCACCGACAATTCCAGAAAGCCAGGAAATCACGGTTGAAATAGCTGTAGTGGAGTAACCAAGACAATCAACATTTTCTGTCTCATTATGAGGTTGAGAACCTGAGTGATCATGGAGAACAGTGGAAAGGTGTAGGCACTCATTGTAGGCCACAGCTGTTGACACACATCCACTGTCCATGGCATCGGATTCGGAAGCCAACAGAAATAATCCTCCATCTAAAGGTTTACACAGGAGGCAAAGAGGTCCATGTTTAGAGCTGGTCCAGCTGTCTTAGAATTTATGGGTCCATCCTCAAATCGCAGGAGTCGCACTAGTGCTGGGAGTGTCACGGGTGGCGGTCTGATGATGATGATAGGAGTCTAAGCGTGGAAATGGACAATCAGGGTCTGGTGCAGGGTAACCACATGCCTCCAAGCTAAGACTAGAACAGACACCAAACAAGACAAGACTAGAAGAACCCAGAACCAGAGCAGGACAGAAAACAGAACCCATAACATGTACACAATACATGAACAGGACTTTACATGAACTGGGAATACAAGACAAATAAAATTAGACAAGAGATACAAGGCAAAACAAGATGAGATATAACTAAGTTCTATATGTGCAATAAACATTGGAGATTTAGACATACATGAATGGCCAAGATGTATGCAGCCCACCACTGCGCCAAAGTACTCCAATTACGGTGGGTCCTAACTGCCTAGATATGCATGACTAAATAAACAACAAGAAAACACACACGGTTACCTTACCTGCAAAGAAAGGAGCAGAGGAAATGAGACCACTGCTTGCAGGAACAGACTGAAACAAAAAGGATTAATGGCAAAGGAATGGGAGTGGCAACAAAAAACAAACATTTAAAGGACTCCAGGAAACTGGGAATTCTATGAACGGAATAAAGGAATGAACCCAGAAAACCCAGCAGAAAGAAAACCAGAAAAGAACAAGAAAAACTAAACAAGAATTGTAAAAAGAGTACTTGATACCAGAAGCCAAGGCCAGACATATCCGCAGAATGGAACAGGACGTGACAGGGAGAACCAATCGGCTAGAAGGTTGTCCGAACCAAGCAAGTGTTTAAAGGCAGAACCAATATATTACCTTCATGAGGTCCGACAGTAGCTTCGACAGAGACCCCCCCTTAATAGTTGATATATTGAACTGCAGAATAATTGTCCATCCGGCGAATGAGAGAGCAGTCAACAACTTTTGAGAAAAACTGCAAATGGCGAAGTAGCCAGGTAACAGTTCCAGATAACTGATGTGGAAGGAACTTTCCTGAGGTGTCCACAGACCTCCATATGGGAACCAAAACTACTAACACCCCAGCCAAGATAGCTGGTGTTGGATTCCAGAATAAAATCCTGTTGGGAACCAAAGATTGCCCACCCATTCCAATCTTCATTCTATGGGCTGATCAGATTTTGACCAATGCAGATGCAACCTCCTTAACCGCTGCATTGCATGATAATTGTGGCTAAAGTTACCTCACCACTGGTTTTTGGAGGAGTCTGTTTGCCAGCCTCCTACCGTGTGATTATGGTCCCAATGTTAAATCCTGGTTAAAACCACTGTGTCTGCCTTTTTGTACTTGAATGGCCACAATTTGAACTTTCAAAGTGGCATTTCGAACTCACGAACTCCTACAGCCATTCAAAGTGCAATTTGACCATGAGGTGGTGGCCATCTTCTTTGCATGGACCAAAACTGCAAATAGACTTCAGGGCGACTTAACCACGAATGTCCTGGAACTATTTCGATCCACCAGCGGCACTTAGCCACGATTCTATGGAACTATTTTCAGCATGAAAAATTTGCGGTTTCCAATCGGTCCTCCAGAGGCACTTAGCTTCTATTCTATGGAATTATTCTATGGATTCTATGGAATTATTTTCGGCTATGGGACCATGCCTGCGGTCGGTCAAATATATGACTTCCATAGAATTTCTGAAGCCTTGAACTGATCTGGGTGATTTTTGGATATGTTGGTCACCCAGATCAGGGGATATTGTGGGGATATTATGTGTTTTGGGGTACTTTTGGGACTTTTTAGAAATGTGTGTTTTTTGTGTTTGGAGATAATTGAGTTTAGTATAGTGCTTGACTCAATTATCTCCAAAGTAATGGGGAAGGCTTATTGTATTTTATATGGGAGTGTCATGCATTGTAACTCTGTCATTATTGGTTTATGAATTTGTATTGCAGTCCCCAACAAGGTCCATGTGGGCGTACCCCTTGCATGGGGATTGTCATAAAAGGCCAGTGTGGCACCATTAAAATTGAGTTCCTGCTTACCCTCAACATAGAGTTTCATCTCATGTGTGGGGGAAACAGCTGTATCTACCCTGGGGATTGCTATCTCTCTATACTTCTCTGGGACTATAATCACTAGCTCTTTTAAGAGCTGTTCCTGCTACGCTCTCTGGAGTTAGAGAGGTCTACTCACTGGAATCTGGATCCTGGTCTTGGGTTCAGGGTGGGTGGAGGACGGCGAGTTCCCAGCCAAGCTGTAACACTGGACGTGGGGACTACAGTGCTGATGGTGTCGGGTGTAGTGCTTGGAGTCCTCAGTGAGCACTAGGAGCATCGGTTGGCAGAGGCACCCGGTCGGGGTGCCAGGAGGTCCGTCACAATAATGAAAAGGGCCCAGGAAGATCGCATGAATGGATCCAGAGAGGAGGCCAAGCATTCTTACCAGATCTCATAGGCTAATCCAATCCTTTTTGCGCAATGAATTTTGCGAATTTCCTTCATTGTGGCTGTGATCCTAGAGGGTGGAAGTCTCAAAACTGAACATATCAAATCTATAGTGAAACACTGGAACTGAAAAACAAGAACTAAATCTCCTGCACCAAGGAGAGTTTTGACTTCTCAGAGCCTATGACAAACTCAAGGCCTTGTAGGAGATTCACAACGAAACACATGTGTCAGTGTAGAGCACTTAATATTAAAATTAAGATAATAGGTACACTGACGCTAGCACAATTTTATCACGTGACAGGAGGCTTCCTATTTTGCATTTTTAACGCTGTAGTAAGAGTGACATGGCCGCGTTACAGTTCAGACGAAAGTAAGAGGTGCGAAACGTGGATTCTCTTGACCAGTCCGCGGAACGTAGGATATCCGATAATGAGGCACCCGCTGCGAACGCTGAGGAAGCTGCCGCTCCTCGTACCAAGTGGGCCTCAAAGGAAGCGTCTACGCCTGCTAAGGAGAGTATCCAGCGAATCCATCTGGCGAGTGTAGTGGTAGTGATGGGGACGTGTGGTCGAACATATGACATGAGGAGTTGTCCCGAGGGTGGTGTCTGAATCAGAAGCGTAACCACCACATAACGTCGTAGAGTGGCTACGACGTAGAGTTGTGGATCGGAGATGAAGAGGTGTAGTAAACTGTCAAAGAGTCCGATTTCGTGCGACGAGATATTTGGACCATGACTCCCTCTGGGGAGACTGAAAATGCATATGTCATCGCACGGACGTCCGACACTCTGCGGAATGACACCAGGCAGAGCAGAACCGTTAGTTTTGCTGAGAGTTGTCGGAGTGACAGTCTGTCATTGGTCGGCCATTCTCTCAGGAAGCGTAGGACTATCTCGACATCCCAGAGTCGTGAATATTTGGGTTCAGGGGGTCATTGCAGTCGAATGCCCCTGAGGAGTCGACATACCAGCGGGTCTTTTCCTACTGGGATCCCAATAATAGGGACGTGGTCCGCTGATATAGCGGAACGGACCACATTAATTGACCTGTATGATCGTCCTGTTGAGAACAGATGGGTTAGATACTTTAAAATGGAAAGAATAGAGGCTGTAAATGAATCGAGGTTCCGTTCCATGCACCAACTGGACCAGGAATTCCAAGAGGACAGGTAGGGTCTTCTGGTTCTTGGAGCCCATGAGTCCCATAGGAGGTCCTTAGCAGCCTGCGATAGTTCGCTGACTTGCCAGGCACCCTGGAAAGAGTCCAAGCCACCAGATTGAGTCGGTTGGCCAGGATCAGTGGGTGGGGGCTCCCTTTTGGATCCCTGAGGGTATACTGGTGTGAAGGTAGCAGGAAGGGATCCTGGCAAGATAGGGCTAGGAGGTCCGGAAACCGTAGTTGTCCTGTCCATAGGGGTGTACTCGTTGTCATCCCAGATAGTGTATGGTCCTTGCTATTATGGCAAATGGGGGAAAAGTGTATGCCCCTGTGGCTGGCCATGGTTGAAGGAACGCATCTGTTGCTTTGCTCTCCGGGTCCGGGAGCCAACTGAAATATGTCTGTGTTTGCCTGTTGTTGTGAGATGTAGGTGAAATGGACCTCGATGCTGTGCTAGACTCTGGAAGATTTGGGGATCCAGTTTCCAATCACTGGTGTCCCTCCAGTGGTGTGAAAACCAGTCCACCGTGAGATCCGTTTCCCCCGGGAGCTATTCCGCTTTGAGGGAGATGTTGCGGGGTAAGCAGAAGTCGAAAATCTCCTTCATTATTTCTGACAGGATCCGGGATCGTGCCCTGCCCAGGCGGTTGATGTAACGGACCTCCGAGATGTTGTCCATCCTTAGAAGGATGCAGCAGTCCGTCTTTTCTTTTGCAAGGCTGAAGATGGCAAAAAATCCCGCCAGGAGTTCCAGGCAGTTTATGTGCATGTTGAGATCCTGGGAGGACCAGGCTCCATCTGTTGATCTACTTTTGCTTGTGGTGTCCCATCCCCAGATGCTGGCAACCGATTCAAGGACTATGTCGGGTGTGCTCCCGAAGATGGCCCGACTGTTCCATGCTTCCATGCTGTCTAGCCACCAGCTGAGTTCGTCTCTGACCTCCTCTATTATCGGGATCGGCTGGTCGTAGGATGGGTTTTGTCTGAGGAAAGATGCTTTGAGGCGTTGCATCGCCCTGTAGTGAAGTTGGCCCGTAAAGATACCTTGTATAGAAGCTGAGAGGAGTCCCACTATTCGCGCGAGGGCGCGGAGTGGAATGGTGTGGGCGTGAATGGTCTTGGGCAGTTCTTTGCGAATGTTCGAGATCTTTGACGCCGGTAGCCGTAGGGTGTTTGTGGTGGAATCTATCTTGAATCCTAGGAATTGTACTGTTTGAGATGGTGCCATGGCTGATTTGAGAAAGTTCACTACAAATCCCAGGGATGATAGGAGGTCCGAGTATAGCATATGTGCTGTATCAGCCTGGACTTGTCGGAGCAGAACAGCAGGAGGTCGTCCAGGTATATAATGCACCGAATTTCTTGTGCTCGAAGATGAGCGACCACGGGCTTCAGTAATTTGGTGAAGCACCAGTGGAATCGTAGATATTGTCAACAGGAATGGTGGACGGGTACTGAAAAGTATGTGTCTATTAGGTCCAGTCTTGTGAATCAATCTTTGTCCTGCAATAGGTCTCTCAGGTGGTGTATGCCTTCCATCTTGAAGTGTCTGTATGTAACGTATTCATTGAGTCTTTTTAAGTTTATGACAGAGCGAAAGTCCCCTGTTTTCTTCTTCACAGGAATATGTTGCTGAAGAAACCTTGCAGTCCGGAGACGGGTTTAATTGCGCCTTTCGCTTGCAGTTCTTGTAGCTCTTTGTGTATGAGTTCGGTGTCCTCTGTCGAGCATTTGATGGGGTATGGTGTGACTGTTTGTCGTGGACGGACTGTGAAGTCGAAGATGTTTGCAGGACCCAGCTGTCTGTGGAGATGGTTTGCCATTCCTGAAAGAAAAAGGAGATGCGACCTGCAATACGAAGGGGAAGGCAATATGTTAGGTGATGGCTTACCTGTGGAAAAACGTGCTCTGGCTCGGGTACGTGGTCCACGCCCTCTGTCTGCCCCTCTGGTGTATGAGAACTGTTGACGGTATTCCACTTCGGGGTAGAAAGGTTGGGGCCTTGCATTGCAGGGGCCTAAAGGCCAGAATCGGCTGGCAGCACGGCACCTTCGGCGGCCAGCCCATTGAAAAACACCCCTGGTGGGGTTATGTCTAAACACTCGCCTCATGAAAGCTTGATCTTTGTTCAGAGAGGTAAATATATTGGTCTGCTTTCATCAGAGCATCATCTGCCAGGTACATGATCCTGGAAAGTGGTCCCACTGAGTCCAGTAGTTTGTCCTGGACTGCTCTGAAACCTTTCTCCACGCCTTTGCGTGGGTCACGGCCACCACGGGACATGAAGGTGGTCGTCACCTGGCCAAACTCTGGTGTCTCTGCTACATGGTCTGGTAGAGAAGGTCTTGGGCATTCGGAACGTAGACTGTTGCGGACTGTCTTATCCATGGATTTTCTAAGCCAAAGATGCATAAATTTTGCAAGGTGATCTGGGGGTGTCTTAGGTTCCTTGGGTCGAACAATCTCTGACCTGATGGGTCGAAGATGGCGTCCTTGTCCTTCTGCGGATTATCCGTCAGCGTCATTTACTTGGGAGTCTCCCAGTAATGTGTGTGGCAATAGGCCGGTTGAGATTCGGAATCGGTACCCAAAGCGTCCTCCTGCCAGTCTGACTCGTCTGCTTGCCACTTATCTAAAATGGCCAAGGACTTGGTCTGTATGACTTTCTCTTCAGAGGACTAATTGAGTAGCGGGGTCGGGGTAGCGACCGTTGAGGGCTTTTGTCTTTTAGCTGGGGTTTTACCGTTTGTTCTGGTGGCCCTTTTCCCCTTTCCAGTGGCATTTGCCAGTGGAGGGTTCTTGGCTCTTAAGTGGTTCAGAATCCTCGGAATCTGAATTGTGTCGGGATTGGTGGGTTTTAGATGGTTTCCTCTTTTTCAGTATTAGAGGCCATCATTTTGGAGAGGGCTTTCTCCATGAAGGCTGCTATTGCCTCGTTTATCATATTTTGGAAGTCTACTGTATTTTGAGAGGCTTCCATTTTCTGATTTGCAGATACAATTTATATGGCACAGGGCGTAAGTAAATAGCTATAGAGGTCAGTGCAGTTGTACTTTATTCACTGTATAAGTAACACTTTGCTGATCCCAGCAGGGTGCAGTGTTGTACAAATAGATGTATTCACAATAAAAATAATTATAATAATTATAATATAATAACCCCAGCAGGGTCTGTGGTGTAATTGTATATAATGACCCCAGCAGGATCTATAAGAATGCCAGATTGGTAACCCTATTACAGGGTATGATCAGTTATAACTGTTTTTATCAGGCACTGATAGGGCCAAGAAAATATTTGCCCTAACAGGGCAAGCACCACAAAATTGGGATTTTTTGTATTATGCTGGGCTTCACCCAGGGTGACAGTGGTGGCCACAGGTCGACCTCCAAACTAAAGTAGCAGATTATGTGGGGCAACACCCCAGATAGGCACAGAGTAAAGGTCCCTTAATGCCAATGTACAGCTTAAAACAGAACTTGGAATGGACTGACCTCTTATAAGTGGCTATGTGATGTGCTTGAGTTCCGTCCAAAGCGTGTCTCTCGCGGCACTGCTGGGATAACCAAAATGGCGGCCGCAATCTCGCGAGATTGCAAATGGCCGCCACGCGTGAGAGGAGATGGAACGGGGAGCCGCGAGAGTGGCAAGTGAGTGAAATAAACCCCACCGATGCGGCAGTAAAGGGCTGGGTAGGTGGGAGGGGGGGTCCGACGGAGTGATAGTCGTCGTGTGAACGAAAAACAGGTCCGCCCGCGGGCAGGCAAGGAAAAAGAAAATGGTAAAACCGGGCATAAAAGTTAGGTGTAGATAAACTAAAAAGAAATATGAATATATATAAGTAATGAGGACACAGTGTAAGTGTAGTGTATACATAAAGGTGAAAAAGGATGTAAATAAAACTGAGAACACAGTTAGGTAGGCTCTGCTAGCTAGAGGGCCAGATCAGAGGAAATAAGATAAGATAAACTAATATAAAGGCAAAGTTTAAATAGAGAAAATATAAAGACAAAGTTCAAATAGAGAAAATAGGTATTTAAACCCAATAAGATCAAAAAAGGTATTATAATAATATATGTATATAAGGGAAGAGCCCAAAAACTCTGACCTGTCTGCGATAGAGCAGTAAAGAAAGAGGAGGAGGAGCCTGTTGTTTGGGAATACCTTACTCCCTATTGCATTTTGATTGGTTAAACGTTTACTTTCTTTACTGCTGTGGAGTTTAGTAAAGAGAGATATGCAAAATAGGAAGCCGTGGATTTGAATATGGCTTTAAGCAATAATTAATTTTTTTAAAGTGCATAGGTTAAGTAAACCAGTGAATATAGCAGCCTCTCTTCCAAGAGATATTCTAGCATGCTTTCATTCATATAAATTTAAAGATAAAATTATTCAAGCATATAAGAAGAAGGAAAAGAAAGGTACAAAATTTGAGAATATATGTGTATTTCCAGATCTGTCAATTAATACAAGGCTCCAGAAGAAGCAATATGATTCTCTTACAACAGTATTAAGATTTAAGGCTATTAGATATATGTGGACTTTTCCGACGGGAATAACAGTCACATATGAGACTGCAGGAGAACTTTCTCAAATTCCCAAAATCTTAGAGAGTGGATGCAAATAAAGTTTCTCCCATAAATTAAAAAAAAAGGAAGGGAGAAGAGAAGGAAGAGAAAGGAAGAAAAGAAATGAAGAAAGCCCTAGAAGGATAAAGAGAAATGTTTTGTTATCGTAGGCATAATATATATATGTCACTTTGAGAGTTATGGAAATTGGATATTACATAATTAGAGATATTAAAGGGACACTATAGTCACCAGAACAACTACAGCTTATTGAATTTATTTTTCAGAGAAAATGCAGTGTTTACATTAAAATATAACCACAAAGTGATCTGTGTATCAAACAGGCGTTTAAACTATATCAAAGGGTGTAAGTAGAGTTGAGCGAACCCCCGACTGTAAAGTTGAAGTTTGTACCGAACATTACGTTTTTTGGACCCTGGACCCGAACACAGACATACCAGTGTATATTCGGGTTGGAATTCGATGTTCGGCAATTTCATGGTGCGTTTTGAAAGGCTGCAGGGCAGCCAATCAACAAGCGTTTGACTTGTGTGCCCTTAGAAGCCATCACAGCCATGCCTATTAATGGCATGACTGTGATTGGCCAGTGCAGCATGTGGCCCAGTCTCTATATATAAGCTGGAGTCACGTTGCGCCGCACGTCACATGAGCTCTTATTAGTGTAGGGAGAGGATGCTGCCACTTTCAGGGACAGATTAGGAAAGAATTCTGCAAACTAGTACATTAGTTGGGTGCACTTCATATCTAAGAGTCAAATAGAAGCGTCAAATACTCCGGTTACATCAGAGTTTTAAAAAGACATTTTTTTGGGTGCTAAATAGTACATATGGGCCCTGCACTTCATATCTGAGAGTCAAATTGAAGCATCAAATACTGCTGTCACATTGCAGTTTTAAAACTTAAAATTTTTTGGGTGCTAAAAAGTACATTAGTGGGATGCACTTCATATCTGAGAATAAAATAGCAGCATCAAATACTGTGGTTACAGCGCAGTTGTAAAAATTCTAATTGTATTGGTGCTAAACTGCTAAATAGTAAATTTGGGGCATGCTCTTCATATCTGAGAGTCAAATAGAAGCGTCAAATACTGCGGTTACAGCGCAATTGTAAACATTCTTATGTTCTGGGTGCTAATTTGCTAAATAGTAAATTTGGGCCCTGCACTTCATATCTGAGAGTCAAATAGAAGCGTCAAATACTGTGTTTACCGCGCATTTTGAAAAGTTCACATTTTTTTGCGCCTAAGATGTACATTTGGGACGTGCTCTTCATATCTGAGAGTCAAAGAGAAGCGTCAAATACTGTTGATACAGCGCAGTTGTAAAAATTATAATTGTTTTGGTGCTAAACTGCTAAATAGTAAATTTAAGGCGTTCTCTTCATATCTGAGAGTCAAATAGAAGCATCAAATAGTGTGGTTACAGCACAATTGTAAACATCCTTATTTTCTGGGTGCTAATCTGCTAAATAGTAAATTTGGGCCCTGCACTTCATATCTGAGAGTCAAATAGAAGCGCCAAATTCTGTGTTTACAGCGCACTTTGACAAATTCAAATTTTTTTGCTTCTAAGAAGTACATTTGGGGTGTGCTCTTCATATCTGACAGTCAAAAAGAAGCGTCAAATACTGCGCATACAGCGCAGTTGTAAAAATTCTAATTGTTTTGGTGCTAAACTGCTGAATAGTAAATTTGGGGCGTTCTCTTCATATCTGAGAGTCAAATAGAAGCGTCAAATAGTGTGGTTACAGCGCAATTGTAAACATTCTTATATTCTGGGTGCTAATTTGCTAAATAGTAAATTTGGGGTGTGCTCTTCATATCTGAGAGTCAAATAGAAGCGGCAAATAGTGCGGTTACAGCGCAGTTGTAAAAATTCTAATTGTTTTGGTGCTAAACTGCTAAATAGTAAATTTGGGGCGTGCTCTTCATATCTAAGAGTCAAATAGAAGCATCAAATAGTGCGGTTACAGCGCAATTGTAAACATTCTTATTTTCTGGATGCTAATCTGCTAAATAGTAAATTTGGGCCCTGCACTTCATATCTGAAAGTCAAATAGAAGCGTCAAATAGTGCGGTTACAGCGCAGTTGTAAAAATTCTAATTGTTTTGGTGCTAAACTGCTAAATAGTACATTTGGGGCGTGCTCTTCATATCTGAGAGTCAAATCGAAGCGAAAAATACTGCGGTAACAGCGCAATTGTAAAATTTCTAATTGTTTTGGTGCTAATCTGCTAAATAATAAATTTGGGGCGTGCTCTTCATATCTGAGAGTCAAATAGAAGCGTCAGATACTGCGGTTACAGCACAATTGTAAACATTCTTATATTCTGGGTGCTAATCTGCTAAATAGTAAATTTGGGCCCAACAGCGTCAAATAGTGCGGTTACAGCACAATTGTAAAAATACTAATTGTTTTGGTGCTAAACTGCTAAATAGTAAATTTGAGGCGTGCTCTTTATATCTGAGAGTCAAATGGAAGCGTCAAGTACTGCGGTTAGAGCGCAATTGTAAACATTCTAATTGTTTTGGTGCTAAACTTCTAAATAGTACATTTGGGGCGTGCTCTTCATATCTGAGAGTCAAATAGAACTGTGAAATAGTGCGGTTACAGCGCAATTGTAAAAATTCGAATTGTTTTGGTGCTAAACTGCTAAATAGTAAATTTGGGGCATGCCCTTCATATCTAAGAGTCAAATAGAAGTGTCAAATACTGCGGTTACAGCGCAATTGTAAACATTCTTATTTTCTTGGTTTCTAATCTGCAAAATAGTAAATTTGGGGCGTGCTCTTCATATCTGAGAGTCAAATAGAATCGTCAAATACTGCGGTTACAGCGCAATTGTAAACATTCTTATTTTCTGGGTGCTTATCTGCTAAATAGTAAATTTGTCCCTGCACTTCATATCTGAGAGTCAAATAGAAGCGTCAAATAGTGTGGTTACAGCGCAATTGTAAAAATTCTAATTGTGGGGGGCACGTGATGACGTGAGACGCCACACGTGCTAGAGGTGGGTGTGTCCGAAACGGAGATGACGAGCGTGGAGACTAGCTAACCACGCTGAAACTATCCGGCTGGGTATGAAACTCGGGAGACCATAACAATATTACAGCAATTCAAACACAAGCAAGTACTGATAGTATAACGATATATCGGACGCATAGCTCCTTGGAAGTTACTCTGGATGAGCATACAGGAGCATACAAAAAAACAAAACAGAAAGTCTTTCAAAGGATTATTGTAAAGAGGAAAAATCATGAGTACCACTGAATATACTGCAATACATCTGCATATACATATTGGTCTGAGACAAAGCATATACAACAATTAGTTATAACTGAAAGCCATAATTTTTAATGCATTTCCTTAACTGTTGAGAAACAGTTGAAATTTTGACAAAAGTAATTTAATTAAGGCTACAATTAGGGCATATAATTAATCACCATAAGGCAGCAAAACTGATATTTGACAATTAAAACACATCAGAAGGACTTTTGTGGAGGCGGAGACGAGCGACTGAACAAGACGGACGCATGTGAACTGAGCTCCGTGAGCGATACTGACTAAGGCTAATTTAAGATCCCCACAATTAAAGGGAAAACGCTGAAACTGACCCCAAGCTGACCATGGGCAGGAAGGCAAAGAAGCAGAAGTCGGACAAGCTCCGGCCGGGCATGACTATAGGAGAAATGTTCCGACAAGCGCAGGGTGCATGCGGACCCAAGATGGCCGCCGACCTCGGAGAACTGACTGACTCCTCGGAGGATCTGTCTCTGGATGACAGCATCGTGGGGCTGCCTCAACCACCCCAGCCACGGCCGGGACCAAAGACCTCAGCACCTGTGACGGAGGCAACTCTCAAAGCAATGCTGGGGGACCTCCAAAAAATCATCCAGGCCGACGTGGCATTACTCCGCACTGACCTCAAAGGCATGATGTGCCGTCTGGGCAAGGTGGAAACCTCGGCAGAGGCCGCGAACCACGCCATAACCGAGCTCCAGGGCGAAATGGCTGAACTAAAAAAACAACAGGGCCTAACGGACCAGCGCTTCGCAATGCTGGAGGATGAAAGGCGCCAAAATAACCTCAAAGTAAGAGGAGTACCAGAAGAGGTGCCGACAGACGAACTACCTCATCTGCACCGGAGGTTACTGGGGGCCCTTCTAACACCCAAAAGGGCCAAAAACGTAGTGCCAGAGGGGGTCTTCCGCATACCCAAGCCCCGGAAAGCCCCAGCCACAGCGACCCGGGACCTGGTGGTGAAGTTCCACAGCCGAGCGGACAAAGCGATGGTACTAGCGGCACTCCAGGGGAAAGGCCCCTATGCTTTTGAAAATATGACCCTCACTTTTTATGCGGATCTCACTGGAGACACCCTTCAATGGAGGGGAACGATGAGGCCATTCACCACCCTACTCCGGGAGCATGACATACGCTACCAGTGGCGCCCGCCACGAAAGCTGCACATCCAGCAAGGGGATACCGTATACTGCGTGCAGGATATGAAAGAAGCAGCAGCACTCCTGCAAACCTTGGGCCTCCCAGCAGACATATTGCAACAACGTGGAAAAAGAGAACAAGGCCCCTCGATCAGCAGATGGGACCCAGCCAACATCACCCCATTTGTGCCACAAGGTACCCAGAAAGACACTTACGCAGCAATTACCACCTGAACACTCGGGCGTTGTCACACATCACCGCTGCAACTGTCAGCGCTAGGGGAGCACATCTACCCCCAACTAGACATCGGATGACTCACCTTAAGAAGGGGACTTAATATTAGGCACAGTGCACAATACCTCTTTCCCCCCATACCCCAGAGGAACTCTCATGACTGCATTTGACTGGTTAGACACAGTGCGTTGCTTTCCTGCACACCGGCACTGGCAGGACCCGCCAAATTGTTGATCCCAAACTGTGGCAGTGCAGCCCCAACAGCCTGGACTTTAGGGGACGTTATGCTGAGCAGATAGGGCTAAAATGTCCCACTCGACCCAAACTGGGGTATTCTGGTACTCCTTTGTTAAAAAAAAAGGGAGAAAAAGAGTTTCTTTTTTTTTTCTCTCCTTTCATTTTTTAGTTTGGGACTCACACTTGTGTATTGCGAACCTCTATAGGGGTCTCACATGAGTCCACATAGTCTCTACCCCCACTTCAGTGCTAACATACTTATCCACCATAAGCTACCTAAAAGTTAAAGCATGTTATACTTATCCTGGTTTGCCTATCTGTAAAGAGTATGACCTTTATTAATAACCACACTTGCATATCGACAGGCATTAATAGCATCAACCTGTTAACGTATGGGATAGTGTAGCACAGGTGCCGTTGTCAGCAAAACTCTATCTTATATGTCACACACTCCTGCCGAAATGTCCCTATAATGCCTGTACTCCTACAAAATATACTTAGCAAGTTTCAAACCCTGTTGTTATACCTGTTTTAAAAATTGTGCATGAGTAGCATGATTTAACATGTTTTATTAATATAACTTAGACTGCCTCTACCGTGAAATTCTGTTTAAAGCTGTTATACTAGAATTGGCATATTATACAAAACTATGACTAGGAGCAGCATATCTTTGGACAGTGGCATGTCTCTGGATCCCTAAGCATACTAATATACCCAGTAAGCAAATCTCACTCTAACTCACTCTAACCCACTCCCAATAGCAGTGTCATACAAATTAGAGGGACTACCCTGCCTTGTTACACCTGCTCATGTAGAAATGTTTATATTGAACCTGCCTGACATGTACTACAAACGTAGATCTTAACATCCTTGTGATTACTTAACTCGTTAGGCAGCAATGGATGGTCGGACTAGCCGGTTAAACATATGCCAAGACACTATAAGCACATAAACATAGGCTCTGGGACCAACCTGCTAGGCAGGACCCTAATCGAGACCAACGTAATGTAACATACAATATAGCGAATCACTGAACAGTATGGTAGTGGCGCAGTGGATCCATAGCATATTACCTAAACCTGTACATAGTCTGTTAATCCTTATAAGCTCCTGATGTTAACCAAAATGTCTATTCTACCTTTCGTAACTATCAGCCTGATTGAAACTACTGCTGTAGACATTTATATCTAGCCTGACTCCTCCTTAAAAAATTGTGCTGTCAATGTTTTCGCCATGAAACTGTTTATTCTTTGTTATACCATCGGCTTGTATCTGCTGTTTTGGCGATATAAGCGTGTCTGTAATTCTAAGCACTACAAAAATAAAGAATTATAAAAAATAAAAAAAACACATCAGAAGTTGTCAATTACTGAGAAAATAAGAAAGTATTATTGAAATAAGAGAAAGAAAGAAGAAAAAGAAGATGTAAAGAGAGAAGGGGAGGAAATATTAATGAACTGAAATAAACCTCTTGAAGACTTGCAACTATTTTTATTTTTAGTCACAATAAATAAGGTTGATTATGATTTAATTAAAGCCTTAATGTAGTAGCTTCATTTAAGAAATAAAATGGCAACTAGCAAAAGTACTATGGAAAAAAAGAAGGAAATTAAATCAGTTCAGCCAACAGAAAAGAGGCTATCTGGCTTTTTTATAACTCCTTCTAAAGATTCACAGGAAAAGAAAATTGAATGCTTGACACACCCGGTGAATACTTCCAATACTAATTTGGAAACTCCAACTGTTCAAATGCCATTACAATCTCATGTAACTGTTACAAACAGTACACAAGATCAATTTAAACAATTGCTGGAGTCACAACTCAACATATTAAAACAAGATATGCTTATAAGTTTTAGCGATATCAAACAAGATATTAATTGCAGTATCAGTGGAAGAAGTGGCTTCCCGGCATCTCTAAAATTTATTTGGAGACAAGAAAAAAAATTCCTTTACTGATGTAAATGAAGCAAAGAGCTGGTTAGTCAAAATTAAAGATGAAAAATAAAAAGATTGCTGTGAGAGAAGAAACAAAGACTTTTTTTTTTTTTTTTTTATGGTTCGCACCTATGGTAATAGAAGTATAATCTGTGCAAACTTCTCCTTTTGAATGGTGCAATATAAAGATTAGAGCTTTGAGCTCTTAATGATAAGGTTATAAGGTTGCTAAAACATAATTATTATTATTATTTTTTTTTATGTATACACGGTTAGACCACAAATTTTGTTTTTAATTATGTATAAAGGGATTTTCTAATTTAGACACAATTAACTATTAAGGTCCCCAGCCACCTGGTTCAGCCATACTAATGGGTTGTGATCCGTGAGCAAAGAAAAGGGCTGTCCATACAAGTACGGCTGCAACTTCTTTAGGGCCCACACCACAGCCAAAGCGTCTGATACGGTCTTTTCGTTCAACCTCCGGTAGTCCACGCAGAAGCGGGTCATACCGACTTAAAAGTTATGACTACTCATCTAATTACATCAAAATCTAATTTGAATAATTTGATTGATTTATAATTAACTTCAAAAAGAATAAATAAACCACTTTCTAAAGCTTTAGTATTGAGTAAAGCAAGTGTCAAATATATAATTCCAACAGCTATATCTGCTTGGAAAAAAGATCTAAATATTGATCTAAATTTTAAACAATGGGGTTCTTCAATGATGGAAGTTACGAGGATTATACACTCGTTAAATCTGTTAGAAACACACTTTAAAGTTTTAAACAGATGGTACTTGGTACCAGATAAACTAACCAAAATATATCCTTTAATAAATCCTGTATGCTGGAGATGTGGTTTTGCAAGGGGTAATTTTGGACATATATGGTGGGATTGCCATAAACTGAGAAATTTGTGGTTGGAAATTCAATAGTTTATATCCGTAGATCTGAAACTCGAGTTGAGAATTTCCCCGGAGGTCGTTTTGTTACATCTAAATTGGCCACTTATGTCGTATGAATTAAAATTAATTCTTACTCACCTTTTCTTGGCTGCTAAAATAGTGGTTGCGAGATGGTGGAAAAAAGATCTAGACATCCCCTGGAGGAAAGTTAAAAATCAACTTGAGTTTCAGATAAAAATGTTCATGTGGAGTAAACAAAAACTAAGCAAAAAAGTATCTGTCTGGTTGAAATGTTCGGAATTAATTAATAGAGAAAATATGAGATAAGTAAAAGTCTCTATTAAGTTGAAATAATATTAGCCAAATTGTGAATACTTCCACATTGGCAATTTTAGAGCTTTATTTAGAATGATCCTTCCACCCTGTTAAGGAAAACTTTCTGAATTTCCAATTATGTTGCAACGTTGTGTATTGTATTATATTGTAAATTTGTATAGCGTATATATCATTAGTAATGTGATATATTATGTTTGTGCATATGTCTTTATCTTCCATGTAAGAAGTTTAAATGAATCGAAGATTGATTATATTATATCTATCGAAGTATAAACTATTAATGGAAGTATTGTTATTTGTAAAATGTTTAAATAAAAAAATAAATCTTTTTTAAAAAAATTCTAATTGTTTTGGTGCTAAACTGCTAAATAGTAAATTTGGGGCGTGCTCTTCATATCTGAGAGTCAAATAGAAGTGTCAAATACTGCGGTTACAGCGCAATTGTAAAGATTCAGATTTTCTGGGTGCTAATCTGCTAAATAGTAAATTTGGGTCCTGCACTTCATATCTGAAAGTCAAACAGAAGCGTCAAATAGTGCAGTTACTGCACATTTGTAAAAATTTCTAATTGTTTTGCTGCTAAACTGCTAAATAGTAAATTTGGGGCGTGCTCTTCATATCTGAGAGTCAAATAGAAGCGTCAAATACTGCGGTTACAGCGCAATTGTAAAGATTCAGATTTTCTGGGTGCTAATCTGCTAAATAGTAAATTTGGGTCCTGCACTTCATATCTGAGAGTCAAATAGAAGCGTCAAATAGTGCGGTTACAGCGCAGTTGTAAAAATTCTAATTGTTTTGGTGCTAAACTGCTAAATAGTAAATTTGGGGCGTGCTCTTCATATCTGAGAGTCAAATAGAACCGTCAAATAGTGGTGTGACATAGCAGTTTTAAACATTCAAATTTTTTGGCTGCTAAATAGTACATTTGCGTCCTGCGGTGCACTTCGATATGTGAGAGTCAAATAGAACCGTCAAATACTGTGCTCTCAGCACACTTTGAAAAATTCAAATAGTTTTTTGTGCTAAATAGTACATTTGCGTCCTGCGGTGCATTTCTTGCAGTCCAATATACAAAAAAATAAATAAACAAAAAGAAATTGTTGACTATTGGCGTTTACATTGTCATCTGACATAAAACATCTGTTAGTTTGGTGGGTGAACGCAAAGAATGAGGAGAGCATCAAATAATTGACGTGGTACGCTGACAACATGCTTTTTTTACTTACACAACCCAATGCAAACACTACCCGAGTTACTGGAGGAATTCGACGCCTACGGACGAGCCTCGGGGCTCAAACTAAACCACGTGAAGTGTGAAGCCCTGCAAGTCTTGACCTCGGCACCCGAGTTGGACCAAATTAAATGAAACTTCCCTTTCAGATGCTGCGAAGACCAGATGAAATACCTAGGTATATGGATTTCAAATAACCAGACAGAAACATACTCACAGAGCTATACCCCGCTCCTTACACGAATCCAAGGAGACCTAAAATCGTGGAACCATAACTACATCTCCTGGCATGGTCGAATAGCGGTGGTCAAGATGAATATCCTACCGAGACTCCTCAACTACTTCAACACCATACCCTGGCATATACCACCAGACTTCTTCGCGACGATGAAATCAGAGATCAGCACCTACATTTGGAAGGGGAGCAGGGTACGACTCAGCCATGACAAAATATGCCTACCCAAATCATGGGGGGGACTGGCATTGCCCGATTTCCGCAAATACTACCACAGTGGATAAGAGACTGGCATACAGCCCCGAACCACAAACTATGGGCTGTGCTAGACAGGGAAAGCACGAACAAAACCCTTCACTCGCAAGTGTGGCATCAAAACCCGAGAGAACCACCAAACATCAATAAAACCTCCCCCATAGCACAAACACTGAAAACATGGGCTATAGTGAGAAAATAAACCTACATATTCCCGCAACCACTAATCCCGCTACCGAGAAGTGCATAGCCTGTAGCAGACGGAGATGTATATCTGCCCCTAAAAGAGGTGTTAAACAACACAGGACTAAAGAGTCTACGTGAATGGACCGGGACTGAAACCTCCATGATGATGCACAGAATCAGACATTTCTACTATAATATCCCGAACAGACAAGCAATACATAAAGCTACCACATGCATCAACGCACCTGAAGCAAATGGGAGAGTATCCGTACTATACCAACGAATGATAATCGGCGACTGGGACAGGAATGTAGCCTATAAGAGACAATGGGAGGACCTCACAGATAGAACATACACGGATGCACAATGGGAACAGATACTCATACTACAACATAAGAGCTAGATCAGTACAAAATACCAGAAAGCCAATTTCAAGCTGATCTCCCAATGGTACCGCACACCTGCGCTACTACACAGGATATTCCTGGGGACCCCTGACACATGCTGAAGATGTGAGGCCCAGGTGGGAACAGTACGACACATCTGGTGGGACTGCACTAGAATAAGACCATACTGGGAAGAAATACGTCAGGAAATGACTGAGATCCTGGGTGAAATACCGGAACTTAGAATTGAAAACGCACTGCTCCACTTCACAGACCAATCTATCGCACTATACAAGAAATCCATCATGAGGCACCTACTCAACGCCGCTAAATCCCTGATTCCAATGATGTGGAAAAGCACCCAACTGCCCACAATTGTGCAATGGCTACAGAAAGTTGAGGAGATTCACTCACAGAAGCAAAATACGCAGACTTACTGGGACGAAGCACAAAGCACACAGAACTCTGGGGGCCATGGTACATGTATCTAACACACCCACAGGTACAGGGAGGAAGGAGAGGAAACACAAGAGACAACAGGACACACACGAGCAGCCAATAACACAAGCAAGACACCCTTTCCCGACCCCCACACCCCTCCCCCGCCCTCGACCTACCTCAGAGCTCTTGCGAGCACGACCGGTGCCCATGCAGCCTACCCCAGAGCCCCTGGGATGTACAAATTAGAAAACAGCGAACATAAACCTAAACACCCAGGGACCGGCAAAATGGGAGGCGAGGAGGGAGGGAAACACAACCGGGAAGGGTTGTTACATAACCTCTTACATAACCGAACTGTAGCAGCGCTAACTAAAAGTAGAGGAAGAACGTGACAGGGACATTTGCCAAATCAACAAACAAACTAAAACTGGAGACAAACCTTTCACTGAACACATATACAGGAATAAGATGTTTTTCCAAAGCTAAAATCAAAGATTCCATCTAGTGCTATTTTAAGGCTCAGCTGTATTTTTTAATTTTTACGTTATTTTAAGTGATTTGCTTATCCACATTTGTTTGCAGGGCACTTGTCCTACTCTCACCCCCATTTTACTTCCTTTTGCAGACCTCTAGCCCTTTCCAGGACTTGTTTAGAGGCATTTTTGTGCCCAAAAGTTCAGGTCCTCATTGACTTCAATGGGGTTTGGGGACTTTTTTTCAAAGTTCGGCCGAACCCGCTGGACCCGAACATCCAAGTGTCCGCTCAACTCTAAGTGTAAGGTAAATGCAGCAGCTACAACACTTAAATATGGATCTCTCAAGTCCACCCAAAGTACAGTGTTGTCAAGATTGGTAAAAATAAAGTAAGGTTAGTAAAAGTACCAACCACCTAAAAAAAAAAAAAGTGCAGCGCTGGAATAATATATACTTACCCCAAATGTTAGGGGTATAGTATCTTGGAGCTCAATGTATATAGGAAGAAAGAGGGGGGGGGGGGTACTGAGAAAATAATCAAATGGTGGAGTATATAAAAATTCAGATCTAGTGATTGAAAAAAATATATAGGGATCAACTCACAAATAAAGAGCCAAGCAAGGACTGGCTCAAATCTTGTTCACTTTGGTGCACATCAGGAGACACCTTCCTTCTTTAGCCTCTTCCTTCATTTCTCAGAATATGCAGAGACAGAAAGAGATCTTTAAGGTAGTATGTACAGCCCAGCCACGTATAAAAAAAATAGTTGATATTAATTGCTCACCTTGTCAAGAGTCCATAAAATATACCTGGCTCTAGGTTTAGTAGCTTTAACCCACTAAGGGGGGTTCACCTTCTTTTTGGAGTTAGATAGCAGCAGACTTGGGACTATATTCAAGATCCAATCGATCAATTTATTACAAATAAAAAATATTAAAAAGAAATTCAACATATAAATTACAAAATAACAAATAGTATGAAGTCCTTTCTGCCAGAATAATCCTCGAGACGCATTTCGCCGTTATATTGGCTTTTTCAATCAATCGATTGAAAAAGCCAATATAACGGCAAACCTCAAAATTGGGAACCTCAAAATTGGCAATATAAAATTATATTCTTCTATTTAAGCAGCGCGATTGAATACAATTATTGTAGAAATAATCCATAAGGACCAGGTGGGATTTGTTCAGGGTAGATACGCAATTACTATTATACGAAAATTAATTAATATATTGGAAATAGTTGAAAAAAAATAGGACCCCTCACTCCTAACCCTGTCATTAGATGCTGAGAAAGCCTTTGACAGGGTTAGCCGGAGATATTTACAATATTCGTTGATGGCATTTGGTTTGGAGAGAGCTATATTGGAAGCAATTATGGCATTGTTCCTGAATCCATCATCAAAAGTGGTGGGCAATGGGTTTAGCTCTGAATGGTTCACATTGGGATATGGAACCAGACAGGGCTGCCCGTTGTCCCCAATATTATATATAATGTCATTGGAGCCTTTGGCAGCAATCATAAGAGCGGAAGAGGCAGTTATCAGATCCAATATAAGCTAAATTTATATGCAGACGACATTATTCTAACACTACAAGATCCATGTAATTCTATGAAGGAAGTGAGGAATATTGTGGATATGTTTGCAAAGATATCAGGTTATTAATTGAATAGGTAGTAATATTGAAGAGAGTGAGCGAAAATTGTTAAGTGAAAAATATACATTTAAGTGGGAGTTAAATTCAGTAAGTTATTTAGGAATTCAAATTAGCACAGATATAACAACAATTGTGGAAAAAAATGTTTTACCTCTATTAAAACAAATTAATAAAAAATGAATGGATTGGATAAAAATCCCAATTTGGTGGGGTAGAATAAATATTTTGAAATCCTATATCTTCCCTAAATGGGTATATCTATTTAGACTTATCCCACTTAATTTCCCAGAGGCTTGGTTAAAAATTATATAGACCGCATTTAGGAAATTTGTATGGCCCCAAGAACCCCAAGAATAAGTGCTGGAATATTGATGTTAAGAGTCGTTCAAGGTGGTATGGTTATGCCTAATGTGGAACAAGTTTCTGGGCAAGTAGACTATCACATGCTATAATAACCCAACAGGAAAACAATATTAAGACAAGATGGTGTCAAATTGAAAAAAGTAAAAAAAGTAAGTATATTTTTTTGGACAACTGTAGACCCAGATAAAACACAATATGGAAGGAAGAAGAGAAAAAGCTATAATCTATTCCCTAAAACCATCTTAGATATATATCAGAATTGGGAAACAATTAGGAAAAGTATGGGTCTAAAGAATAAAGTGATTGTAGAAAATGATATTGAGATCTTAAAATATAATATTCAAAACATAAAATTAGAGAGATGGAAAGATTTGGGCATAATAAGTATTAAGAATATGATGGTTTACAGGGAAATAAAGTATTTTAGACGATTACAACAAGAATATGATTTACTGAATACTGAAATATTCAATTACTTGAGGGTAAAGGGGTATATTAAGAAATATCTATATACTGGGAATGCAGATCAAGTAGATAGACTTATTGGTCTCTTTCAAAAAGAGAATAATAAGGGGTTGTTAGCACATTGTAGTAGATTAATAAAAGGGGAGGAGAAATGTATAAATATAAAAGCCCTTGAAATAAGGCAAAACGATCTAAATGTATTAATTGATAAAGAAGACTAGATGTATTCTTTAAACTCTATTAACAAAGTAATGCATAGTCTAAAAATAATAGAAACTAATTATAAAATAATGAATAGGTGGTATAGAGTACCTGCTTTTTTATCTAGGATACACCCAGTAGTACCTAAAAATTGTTGGGGATGTGGTATGAATAATGGAGATTACATGCATACATGGTGGCAATGTCCACCGATTCAGCTTTTTTAAATATTTTATTGGGAAGATTGTTACTCTTTGTCCAAAATTGTTTTTGTTACATATAGGATTGGCTGTATGGTCAAAGAATTATAGAGATTTTGTTATACATATTCTCATGGCGGCTGAGACCGTAATAGCCAGGCATTGGAGGAAAATAGATGCTCCTATATGGCAGGAAGTAGAGAATCAATTAATACATCAATTAAAAATGGAGAGAGGATTGTGGATACAAAAAAGAGGTCCACAACATTGAGCTCATTCTTGGAAAAATTGGGCCACAGCAGAAGAGGTTAAAAAAGATTTAAAGGTTTTTTAAGATATGTTTGGGCGGTACTCCCTGATTGACTGCAGAGGGTGGAGGTGTGGTTTAGGGGAACTTTATCTTTACCCTTATATGTTTAAGGAAGAATGTAAACACAATGAACCGTGATTGTATTGAAATTTAATTAACATAGAATGATTTAAAAAAAGGGAGGAGAATAAAAAGATAAATGTCTTTCTTTTTCTGTAATGTACTTGATAAAGAAAAGAGAAGGAAAAAGATAAAAATAAAAGGGAAAAATAAAGAGATGAACAACCTTCCAAATACCCTTTAAATTTCACCAGAAGTGCAATAGAGCCAGGGACGGTTTAGCCGCGAGGCAAACAATGCATTTGCCTTGGGCGGCATTTTCCAGGGGGCGGCAAAAAAAGCCACCCCCAAATGCCCAGGGGAAATGTCTTGTTAGCCTTGCGGCTAACTGACATGGTGGGCTGGGCAGGCGGCGCTGGCGGGCGGCTGGCGAGGGAGCACTTCCTCTGAGCGGTCTGCTCAGCTCCCTCGCACGCCGCAGAGTGAGGCTGGGAGCCGGAATATGACATCATATTCCGGCTCCCAGCCTCACTCTGCGGCACGCAAGGGAGCTGAGCAGACAGCTCAGAGGAAGTGCTCCCTCGCCAGCCGCCCGCCCAGCAGCCACTGGACCCCCAGGAAGATGAAGAACCCCCCCAGCATTCCCAAAAGGTAAGGAGGCTGTAAATAATAAAAAAACACAAGTGAGTATGTTAGTGTGTGTGTATGTTAGTGTGTGTGTGTGTGTGTCTGTTAGTGTGTGTGTGTGTTAGTGTGTGTGTCTGTCTGTTAGTGTGTGTGTGTGTGTGTGTCTGTCTGTTAGTGTGTGTGTGTGTCTGTCTGTTAGTGTGTGTCTGTCTGCTAGTGTATGTGTGTGTGTGTGTGTGTGTGTCTGTTAGTGAGTGTGTTTGTGTTTGCCTGTTAGTGTGTGTGTGTATGTTTGTGTGAGTGTGTTAGTGTGTGTCTGTTAGTGAGTGAGTGTGTCTGTTAGTGTGTGTCTGAGTGTGTGTGTGTCTTTTAGTGAGTGAGTGTGTGTCTGTTAGCTAGTGTATGCATTTCTGTTAGCTAGTGTATGCGTATCTGTCAGTGAATGTGTGTGTGTGTGTATTTAGAAGGCGCTGCAGGGGGGAAGGGTTGGGTGGGGGGGTGGCACGGGGAAGGGGGGTGCCTGAGGGGGTGCCTGAGTTTTGTCCTGCCTAGGGCAGCACAAAACAAGGATACACCACTGAATAGAGCGCAATTGAGAATGGGAGAGTAGCCCCACCAGTCTAATAATTAACTGAGGATCACACAGTCATGTAAGTATGTGGCCATAGCACCCCTAGTCTTGCATTGTCATGAATATCTATGACACAATGCAGAGCTTAACCCCTTAAGGACCAAACTTCTGGAATAAAATGGAATCATGACATGTCACACGTCATGTGTCCTTAAGGGGTTAAATAAAACAAAATATAGCTAAACAGAGAAAAGCATATTAGCAGGACTTAGATTGGCTGGACTGAACGCTAAACAGAATAGTATAAGGCTAGCCGAGGTCAGGATAATAGAAAGCAAAAATATGAGAGAATAGATAAAGGTCAAGGACAATAGAATAGTCAAGATAAAGCCAAAGTCAGATAAGGTAGATATTGTAGTGGAGCTGCAATGCTGAGACTGACTATCTCCGCTGTAATCCTTTGGAGCTAGAAGGGAAGTGCTGGTTAGTGAATATAGCCCATTCCCCCAATAACTGGACGACACACAGGTGTGGGAGTCAACTGGTTTTTATTAGCCCACACATGGCTTTTTATGCACAGCCCCATAGTATGGGGTCTTCACATTACATTTACAGGGAATTTTCCCGAGAGGCTCTGGGTCTGAGAGATAATTGAAGCTGGGAATTTAGATTACTCAATTATCTCTCAGTTACATGAAATACATAAAATATTATAAAACATCCCAAAAACATAATAAAAAATTACAGGAAATCCACAATCCTTATATCCCCGAATAGCCTGTATCTGAGTGCACACCATATCCAAAAAGCGCTCAGATTGGTTTGGCGGAACGAGATCTCTATTCAGGAGAAGATTTCACTGGCCGGCCACAAGGTGATGCCCCAAAAGAGTTCCAGAAAATCCAGGACAGTGGCTTTGTTCAGGAGTTCCTGCACAAACACCGACAAACGCTCCCCCTGGCTTTCAGGTAGCAAATGCTCCCCCTAGTCAGTAGATCATATCTCCCTAATGTGGTTCTTGTAGTTGGTCAGGAAAGTATACAGGCAGCAGTACCACCTTGACCGGGGTTCGCGAGAACGTGTACCGAAATTTGTTCCATGCACTCGACGATTAAGTACCGCTGCCTGTGTTTGGGAGGCAAAATGGCGGCCACCTATGGAAAGCATTCAAGTACTCCTTAATTGCGGTTCACAGCCTGGGGTGGTCGGTGTTCTAAGTCAATAACAGGGAGGAACCACACACATTCTGTTCGGTTCCCGAGCAAGGGGGTATGGATCTGTTCCAAAGAACTCAATATGGGTTCGGGCAACCCCAGGGACTGATGCCAGGTCCGCCACCGAGATAATCAAGGGAACACAAATGCCTGCCCGTCCCAGCTCTTGGGCCCCCATAAAATAAGGCTAACAAGGCATTTGCCTGGGCATTTGGGGACAGTGTTCTTTGCTGCCCCCTGGAAAGTGCCACCCAAGGCAAATGCCTTGTTAGCCTCGTGGTAAATACATCGTGACCCACCACACACACTGTAACCCCACTCATATAATGTCATCCCTCACATAATGTCTTCCCCCCTCACACACTGTCAGCCACCACAAACACTGTCACCCCCTGATGCACTGTCACTCACCAAACACTGTCATCCACCAAACCCCATTTCCACACTGTCACCCACACACACACTGACACCCCCATACAGACTGTCACCCACCACACACAGTAAGTTTTGCCAATTAATAAATACCTTAGCAAGTTTGCCTGTTAAAAAATATCACAGAAGTTTGTCCATTAATAAACTGTGTTTATTAATGGGTAAACTTATTAGGGTAATTATCAGTTGAAAAACCTACTGTGATTGGGCACTTGACCTATGTTTAATGGGCAAACTGACTGCGGCATGTACTGTTGGGAAAAATGACACTGTTCTGTGTTTGCACTTTATTACTCCTTATTTTTATATATTTTTGCTTGTGGTGCGTGCGGAATTCTGGGAAGATCTTTGGTATGCCTTGGGTGAGATAAGGTTGAGGAGCACTGGTTTATATAGAAAGTGAAAAGATCAACCTTTTTTGTTTCAGTTGATTTGTTATATTGTTGCTTTTGTGTTTCAGAGGCTCTTTTGCAGAGCATCCAGGTATCTCAGATACCTAAAGTAGTGACAGAAAATGGCAGCACAGTCACTTTGCAATGTGGCTACACCCTCACAAGCACAGATATTCCAAAATATGGGTGGTACAGTTGGAGCAGACATATGGCATCTGGATCCGAGGTGTCTAATGTCAGTGAGTCTTTCTCAGGCAGAGTGTCCAAAGTCAGTCCAGACGATTTCATCATCAAAAGAGTAGCAGATATTCACCTACACGGAGTGGATGTTTCAGACACAGGCTTATACTTTTGTGAAATTTATCTACAAACCAGCATTATGATGACAGGTCAAGGACATGGAACATTCCTCCTTGTGACAGGTAAGATGAATAAATAAAGATTAATATATCAATGATTGTCACTTGATGCAGTGCTCTGTGGTTCTGATTCTGAACATTCCTTAGAAAGCATCTTCTAATGGTCTTTGTACAATAGGTATATTTACATAAAAATTCTCTGTACATATTATCAAGATTATAGTTCCAATCAAAGCAGATTTTTCCACTGTAACTGTTGCCATCATAATCCTTGATATTCATCAGTAACTGAGCCCAATTAAAATGTAGGTCCCTGTCTCACTGCTCAGTGTAGTTCATAATTCTTGTCTGTAAGACTTGCCCCCTGGGTCAGTGACATGAAAGGATACATTTTTGCTGTTCAAGATCCATCCAGCTTGTGCGTGCACACACTGAGTACATCTCTAAACTCCTTTCTCTAGTTCTGGAGTCAGAGTTGAGAATTGTGAATAAATTGATAGCAGGAGTATGGTAGTATACCTCCCACCAATATTCCCCAGTAAATGTCCCTATATCCCACAGTTCATATACCCATGCCCCCCCAGTGTATGGAGTACAATATATTGGGCCACTAACAACCTCAATATATGGCATGTCACCCTCCGACATCAATAATGAGCACAAAACAATGATCTTCTTGCAAAGTGTCAGATTTTCGTTGTTGTTTCCAATGTATATGAGAACACTATGGGCAACACAACAGCAAAAATGCCTCCACAAACATTATCGATAAATGAGCAGTTGGGTGGATTTCCTATTCCCCAACACATTGGACATGTTTTTCTAGGCACCAGGAAGCCATTATTTGTTCTTTTGTTTTGTCTTGGACAAGCAGCAAGGTTACTACAGGAGGGTCTGGGGGTCAGGCAGAGTGTGCAGACCACAGCATTCACTCCCTCGCCATCCTGGCAATCACTAATAAGTCAGAGCACAGTTGATTAAATTCATATAATTCATGTAATCATATCCATTACATGTGTCCAGCTGCAGCACTAGAGGGCAGTACACCATATAGATCTGTGACAGCAGAAGATGGACTGCACCATTAGTTGGTGAATCAGGCATAGATAATGTTTGCCTTTTAGTTAATACTTTGATATTTTTTGTTAGTAAATTCACTGTTCTGTTATTCTGCTCATACAGTGTTGTCACAGTTACTGAGAAGTACCACCACCTACAACTTACCACTCTCATGTCCACTACTATTTGCAACAATGGCTGCCATGTACTTAATAGGCATGATGAAGACATTATATACAGTTGCAATCAAAATTATTCAACCAAGATTGAAAAAATGATGACATAGAAATTCATCTACAGTTGCAATCAAAATTATTCAACCCCCTCTTAACAATCAGGTTTATTGTCAAAATGTACAGACTTTCAGCTTTTTGCAATGAACAAATCAAACAAAAGCAATTGAAATAGCGCAACAAAATGAAGCTTCAACTAGTTTCCCCAAATTCAGTTGCAACTGATAATGACTTCTCCAGTCTCAAACTATTCAACCCCTTCATGGCAAACATCTTTAATTCTTAGTAGAGCACCCTTTTTGTTGTTGTGACCTGCTGCAAACGGGATTCATAGCCAGACACCAGCTTCTGGCGGTGTTACTGAGGATTCTAAGGACATGAGCAATGGCATTCAGTTCAGTAATAGTCTTGGATTTGCAGTGTGCAACTGTCTTCTTCAAATTCCACCAGAGATGTTCTATCGGTTTCATGTCAGGTCACTGTGCCTTAACTGTGCTAACTGAAACCTCAGTTCCTGTTGCCACTCACCAAGTTTTGATGCAGGTCTTTTGCAGTCACTTGAGGGTTTTTTCCAACCTGCCTTCCAGACACGGTTCCAACTGTAGATGAATTTCTGTGTCGTCATTTTTTAAGGTATTTTTTTTCTAGCAGCTAGCTCATAAGCCCATCAAATGCCCTGAGAGTTAAAGGGTTACTCCAAGCATCATAACTACTACAGCCCATTGTATTGGTTTTGATACCAGGAGTGTCCTGGCATCGTTCCCTGGTAATGAGGAAACTGTTCTGTAATGGTTTACCCTCTTACCTGGATCCGCACGTAGTGCCTGAACCAAGGTTAACGTAATCCAGCTTGTACAGAGCTGCAGAAGATGATGCAGATCCCGCTGGTTTCTCACCGTCTGAGTGCATCAGCTGAATGTTACCAGCCAATGAATGACCTTCTACACATATAACTATGCACAGAATGTACACTAAGCAGCAAGGAACTTCTGTTCATGGTTGATTAATTATACCTCAATGATGCTGCTAGAGAAAGAGTTAAAGCAGCGCTCTCACACCCCCTACTTCTCCTCATGAAAAAAAGTATTTCATAACGTTAGAATCTTTATGAAATACTTATTTTGACTGTGTTGAAAATTCACTGAAAATTCCAAACCAATCAAGAGATCTACAGATACAAACTACTTTGTCTCTGTACTTTTACTCTGCCTGACTTTCTCAGACACTGTGCGGGGCTGCATTGTCTATCCTGAAAGCCATTGCAGGGAATCAGCTCTATGGGGGATCCCATGATTTTGTGGGATCCTTCATAGACTTCAATGCTGTACTCTCCTGCATGCTGATGCACCAGGAGCTGTAGAGGACCAGCTGGAGGAAGATGGCCACACCTGCGAGGGACAGATTCAGGTATGTAAATCTCACTTTTAACTGCCACTCCCCCCGATCATTGACCACCAGTGGTGATGTTACCTTGGTGGGTCTTTGCAAATTTTGCAAAGTCCCCAAATGTTGACAGTACTGCTTTAAAGCTGGCAGCGAAGTTGTTAAAATCTGTATATGCAGCGTTTTATAGTAAAACAGTGCACATGCAGACTCCATATTAAGTCAAGTCACTGAATTGCTGCCATTGGTTGTCTTTGGCCTGCTAAGCATGCATGTATCATATTCACAGAAATAACGTTAGTTAATGATGCTCCGGCAGCAATGCGCTGCCTTTCAAGCTGAAATATATCCAGTATAATGACATATTAGGCCTGAGAATGATGCAGAATTACTTGCGTGCCATATTTTTATACTTGTATTCTAATATGAAAGTGTATGTGATTGGGGTCAATGTCATTCCTTATAGTTGCATCCTGCTTTATTGTCCGTATGTAGTATTAAGGTTAAAGGAGCACTATAGGGTCATGAACACAAACATGTATTCCTGACCCTATAGTGTTAAAACCACTATCTAGCCTTGCCCCCCTTTGCCTCCCTAAAGATAGTAACATCTTACTTGTATTCCAGTCTGAAGCTGCTGCCTCTGCCTGTGAACTTCCTCTGACCTCTGACATCATCAGAAGTGGTGGCCTGATCCAATCACAATGCTTCCCCATAGGATTAGGTGAAAATGACAAGGAGGCAGATCAGGGGCAGAGCCAGCACAATTCAAACACAGCCCTGTCTGCGTGCAGAGGGAGGAGATACTGAATGTTTGGATGCATTTTAGGCATCTGAGGTGTGTCCAGTGACGTTATCACTAGGCTGTAATGTTAACACTGCATTTTCTCTGAAAAGACAGTGTTTACAGCAAAAAGCCTGAAAGAAATGCTTTTAAAAAGAAGCTGGAGTCTTTGTCCTGTATTTAAACATTTTTCTTTAAAATCTGGCAATTACCACTGTCAGAAGAACAATAAACAATATTGCTAAGAACACTAATAACACAATCAGAACTATGGATATGAAATATTTTTCATGAAATTAGTGACGGCAATTTGCCTCCTACTTAGGGAATGATCTCCATTTATTTTTATTTTTTTCTTGCTTTCATAACTATTTTTTACTTTGCTTGTTTTTGCTGCTGTATTTTCTGTGTTTATATAATGACATTCTTAAATCTTCTCTCTTTCAATCTCACTATTCAATCAGATCATCCCAAGGATTTCTCCATCACTAAATTAAGCAAAATTAAAATTACAGTTGGAGCCCTGGTTTTGGTCACCATTTTGTCGACAATTTTGTATTTCGAAAGGTAATAGAAAATATAGTTTTTTTTTGTTATGGTAAAATAAACTAATTCATGCAAGTGTTTACATATTGCTTTTTATTTTGTTTTGTTTTTACTATATAGACGCAAGGCGCTAAGCAAGAAACTAGTCGTCATTTGACCAGCTGCTTCTTGAACTTGGCTGAAAATAGGACCCAGCTGCATTATCAAAAGAAGTAAACAATTTTGAAAATACATTACAGGCTTGGAATTTTTTTTGGATGGAAGAGGAAGTTAAACTGTGTTTGTTCTTTCATTTCTTGTCATTGAAAGTCCAACAGAATACCACAAACGTGTTACAGTTACGCACAACAAACAGTCCTTTAGCATGATGTCTGCACCAGTGACTGTAGAGTTTGTCATCATGTCTCACACCTGCTGCACTAATGAAACCCTTTTAGAGAACTTCAATAGTTGAAAAATAGGTATTTCGATTGTAAGCTTGTTTGGGCCCTCTTCATCTACTGTTTCCGCATGTCACACATGTGTTGTTAGAATTAAATGTTTGTCTTGTTTGCCTATTGTACATTGCTGCAGAAATGCTGGCACTATACAACTAACTGTAATTGTCAAGTACGCAACATGCCATATATGCAGAGTTCTGGATTAAATTCTGGACTATCAAATTCACACAGGTTAAACCAGAGCTTTGCCAGATTGCTTGTGATATAATAATTTACCCGATAAGTCTAATCCGAGAGATCAAAGCGTTGAACATAATTGAGATGATGCTTTAAAGCTTTCAGAAATATTGTTTTAAATTTACCCTGAGAGTTATACCATCATTGTTATAAAACCTTCTATGTGAGTTTGCAGTTTCTTTTTTTTTCATTAAATTTGTTTATTAAATGTAAATTAGACATTGGACCAAGCAGGATGCACATTCACATATTATAATTCATTTGCTTTCATACAAGCAAATAAGTACTATTTGCCTGCTGGCTGCAAATAGTTCAATATCTCTCTGCAAAGTAACTGGCCAGCACTTGCTACTCAGCTGCTAATATGGATGTATGGCTGGATGGATGGCTGGGCCCCCATATTACAATAAGGTCATTACCTTCTCTTAATTCTCCTGGACTTCTCTTGATATTGCTGACCACTCTCTTAATCTTCAAATTCTCTTGATATTGTTGACCACTCTCTTAAATTCAAAATCTCTGCAGCCTTGGACTCTGTGACACTGTACTTTCCTTGTTTTCATTCTATCTTTCTGAATACTTATTTAGTGTCTCCTTCCTTGATGCCATCTCCGCCACTGACCTTTCTCCTGCACTCCTGGAATCCGTTGCCTCTCCTCTATCTCTAACTGGATGTTTTCACACAGGGCCGGCCTTAGGTCATTAAGCGCCCTGTGCGAAAAGTCTTCATTGCGCCCCCCACCAAGATGCCTGTATACAGTCACACACACAGGCACAAGCAGACAGTCACACAAACAGTTACAAGCTGAATCAGACTGTAAGCTGTAAGCTACAGTTACAGGAAGACAGTCACACACACACACAGTTACAAGCAGACAGTCACAGAGCCAAACACACAGTTAAAGGCAGACAAGCACACAGTCACAGGCAGACAGTCACACACACAGTCACAAGCAGACATTCACACATATTCCATTCAGGGCCGGACTGGGGATACAAAGCAGCCCTGGAAAAAAAAAATCTATGCCAGCCCCATAAGTCAATGCGCCATATATTGTCGCATGTAATATGTAAGGCTATGTCTTGCCACCCCAGATGATTGAGAGATATAAAATATTGGTCCTTTCAGAGTAAAACATTTAATTATACAGTAAGCATACTCACATGCAGACACAGACAATCTCACTGACACACACAAGCTCATTGATATACAGCCTCATAGACAAACAATCTCACTGATATGCATAAGCTCATTGACATAAAAACACAAGCTCACTCACTAGCAGGCACACACACAAATGCAATCAAGCACACTCACTAGCAGACGCACACACACACAGCTTAATGTAGTGGTTCTGGTGTCTATAGCCTGTCTCTGCAGGCTTTTGAATGTAAATACTGACTTTTCAGAGAAAAGGCAGTGTTTACATTGCTTCCTAGTGACACTTCTAGTGACAGACACTCAGACGGTCACTAGAGGCGCTTCCTGTGTCAGTGCGGATCGGCTGAGATCATCAAGCTTGATGATCTCAGTCATAGAGGCAGGGCCAGTCGAGGGGAGACCAGCACGACATTGAAAAAAAAAAAAAAAAAGGTGAGTAAAACACTATTTTTAAAAACACACACAGACACACACACCCCATGACACATACATATACCATGACAGACACACACACACCATGACAGACATACACACACCTTGACACACACACACATACCATGACAGACACACCATGACACAGACCATGACACAGACAGACAGACACACACACACCCACCATGACACAGACAGACACACACACACCATGATACAGACTCACCGTGACACAGACACACACACACCGTGACACAGACACACAACACAGACACACATGACATGGACGGACACACCATGACACAGACACACACCATGACACACACAGACACACAATGACACAGACACACACACCATGACACAGACAGACACACACACACACCATGACCATGGCAGACAGACAGACACACACACACCATGACAGACAGACACACACACACACACACACACACACACTGACAGACAGACACACACACACACCATGACAGACAGACACACACACACAGCATATATACAGAAAAAGGATAGGGGGCACTCCCGAGACCTGCATTTTGTATGAAAGGTGCTGCTGCAGTGACCAAACTTCATACATAAAACAATAAATAGTTGCAGCGCACTCAGACTACAAAACAATATATAATACAAAGAAGGCTACTAAAATGCCTATCTGAGAATAAATATGGGGATTTAGTTCCACCATATGGCCATATGTTGTTAAGCCCACCACTACTTTCAAAGTACCCCAATATTGGGGGGTCCTACGCTAAAAATGTGGGGGACAAATTAAATAGTACTAGTGTTCAAAATGACAAGTGTTAAATTAAATCCTGATAAGAGCATAGTGAGTACACAAAAATGAGTGATGAAAGCAATTAAAAACAGTGTTAAAACTCGGGAGTGCCCCCTATCCTTTTTCTGTATATATTATATTTGGAATCCAGACCAGATTCCCTAGGGGTTAAGCACCTTGCCCAGGCCCCCCATCTTCAGAGGCTCCTTTAGAGGTGGCCACAGGTGTGTATAAATAGGAGGAGTTTCTCAGTAGTCTAGTCACTTTTATTATTTTCTCTAGCCAGCACAGATATCATCTGCTATAGTAATATTGGGGTAATATTGGGGTACTTTAAAAGTAGTGGTGGGCTTAACAACATATGGCCATATGGTGGAACTAAATCCCCATATTTATTCTCAGATAGGCATTTTAGTAGCCTTCTTTGTATTATATATTGTTTTGTAGTCTGAGTGCGCTGCAACTATTTATTGTTTTACACACACACAGCATGACACAGACAGACAGACACACACACCATGACAGACAGACAGACACACACAGCATGACACAGACAGACACACACAGCATGACACACACTCCCACTGACATACAGACAGACAGGTGTGCTGGCGGCTGCAGGGTGAACTTGGATGGCGGCCGCAGGGGGAGCTGTTCTGGCGGCCGCAGGTGTTGCAGGCTGTTCTGTCTCTGCTCCCCAGCGCGCTGCTTAATGAGACCGGGGCCGGAATATGACATCATATTCTGGCCCCGGTCCAATTAAGTAGCGCGCGAGGGCGGGGGAGCAGAGACAGAACAGGTCACCCAAATGTCTCCCCAGCCCCACATGCCAACGGCCGACCAGTCACACACACACAAACACAGAAAGGCAGACACATGAACAGGAAAACACACACAGACTTACATCTTTCCATTATGGCTGGCAGCGGTAGTGGATGCAGTTGGTTGTTGGGGAAGCAGGGGCGCCTTCCTGCTTTCCTCTTCCTGTGCAGCTTCAGGGTATGTATAGGCCCCGCCCCTTCTGCTCATTAAGCCCCACCCCCACCGCCGAGATTTTTTTATTTTTTTTAATAGACCCGGATGGAAAATAATTAATCCTCCACCCGAGTACCTGTTTTATGGTCTATGGCGCCCTGTGTGGCCGCACAGCTCGCACACCCCTAAGGCCGACCCTGTTTTCCGATTTTCTAAAACATAATCTTTCTAAATCTGAACTCCACTTCTGTCCTTCCACAAATAGCCCTACTCCATCTCCCAGCACATAAGTGGGATACCTTTTTCCCTTACCCCAAACCTTGAAGTAACTTTTTTATATTTTCTCCTCACATTCAATCTGTTTCCAAATCCTGTTACTTTCGCCAGGCTCATCTTGCAGGCTTACCGTTACTCCCATGCCCCACCCCTTTGCCAATCATTACAGTGGATTCTTGTATCTTTCAGGTCAGGATACAATTCTAACTGCTAACACTAACCTGCAAAGCCCTCACTAACTCCACTCCTCACTAGATTTTCTTTTTACTCACTTTGTGAGTGATCACCTCCTGCTATCTGCTTGTTCTGCACTGCCAAATCTGATCTACAGGATTTTTCAAGGGCTGGCCCAGTTCTATGGACTTCTATACCCTGTGTCATCAAGCACTCCCTTGTTTTACAAAGTCATTGAAAACATGCTTCTCTCATTGCAATTTCCCTCTTCAGTTCTCATGCCTTCATTACCCAGCTCAGTCCCTCTTCCACTGTTCATTTGTTCCATACATCACTTTTACTAGCTTATTTTGACACAGGCATCTTACCCATCAGTCACTGTTCCTTTCTACCTTTTCCCTAACATGCTGTTATTTCACTTGTGTTTCTTTACCCCTTCCTCATAAATTGTAAGCGCATTTGAGCAGGGCCGTCTTCACCATTTGTCTCTATTAATATTTTGAATGTCAGTTACTTGCTGTCAAATATGTTCCCATGCTTGTCCATCTATATCACAGTAAAGCTTCTAAGTAATAAGATAAATTGATACCGGAGAAACTGACGGAAGCAAAGCACAGAGGGATGGACACAGGTTTCTTCAGGAAGGAAGAGATTCTTTACTGGATCACCGATCGGGACTCAGAGGGACTAATGTCACCAAAAATACAGCAAGTTCTGAGCCCTGAACAATAGTGCAGGCTCCCTATATAGGCACATAACTCCTCCCATATTAAGCTCCACCCGCACATTCTCTTGACCAATCATTACAAATAAGAATTAACTTCCTGCTTGACCGCATGGCTTGTCCAGCACAATGGAGGAGGGGAATACTACATCCTGTATTCTTGCACATGCTCCGTACACTACTGATCGTATCTTGCCTCGTGCAACCAACTGATCGATACGTCAGCATATGCACGTACACATGCCACGTGGTAATCTCGGCCTACTAAATTTATTTTTACCGAGATTCCACCACATTCCCCCCTTTGATGCCTCTTGATATTTTACAATTACTTGAGGCATCACTTAACCTTGGTTTGCATACACCACAAGTTACCTTTGAACCAGACCAGACTTATCCTATGATGTGAATCTTCAACACTCGTCTTCCTGCATTGGTTCTCCCTGATCTAGAGCCTTATATTTATAAATTGCCATTATCTGTGCAGCAGCCTTCCTCTCTGCTATATTTTCTATCAGGCTTTGCACAGACCTAACTACTAAGGGTATAAGACACGGCAGGAGTAGACACAACATTAAAATCAGTAGGACTC